AGGTTTGAGGAAGGTGTTCCACACAGAAGCTTGCGGAAGGGACGTGGTTGATGTGCTCTTTCCAGAATTGCCTTTAAGTCTTTCCAGAGTTACCAGCAAATCGGGCATACGAAATCCCTCGCGGAAGCAATTTCCAGAAACCATTCAAATTTCAAGGGCCTAGAAGCAATTTGTTGCCATGACGTGTCTTGTGGTTTGTTGCTTGCCTTGGTCTTATTGTTTTTGTTGTTAGTCGGCCCCAGTTTGAACGTGCGGTTGTGGAAAATGTGTTTTTTGGTCCACTTTCTGTGATACCAAGGAATGTCCCGTCAACGTGATACAGTGCTCATGGGACTCACCGGGATAACTCATATTGGTATCACAGAGAGGCTGGCTTTTGACAACCATGGGCAGAGCTGGTGGACAAATTCCACAGCGAAGCGCCCAGCAGTGGCACTTCCTGCCTTGTTTGACAGGGTGGGATGACCGAAAATCCGGGCAGGGGGTTGCTGCCTCAAATAGAGTAGCTCTGCCTTCCACGTGTTCAGTAGGGTGGCTTCGAGGAGTACCGAGTGCAACTGTTTGCATTTTCCAGGTGCAGGGGACGCCTTGCCAATGCATGCCGGGATGTGTCGAAACGTATATCCCTTTAGGCTCAGGCCAGTGTTAGTACCCTTGCCGGGTTTTTGGGTAGATTCCTTGCCAGGCGTCAGACTAACAAGGCACCAGGTTCGACAATGATTTCAAGCAACAGCGTTCTGTGACTCTCATAGTGGGCTGCTCCACGTCCATGTTGAAACCGTGTTATATAGTGTTTGTACTGGACAGGCGCGCCTACTTGCAGGTACGACCAGGCAAATTTGCGGCGAGGTGATTCGAGAACAAAGAGGAATGCTTTTGCAAAACATATGAGTGTGTACGTTTGTTGAGAAAACTTTTTCAGGGGATGACACAAACCCATTTGCGTATGGTCAGCCATCGGCCAGATTGAGCGGACTGCTCAGCGTCGGTCCAGTGCAAAACAACCTTTTAGTTTTGACGCATTTCTATGACATGTGCATGATATTTTGCACCAAAACTACTCCCGTTCACTGTATCCAAACATAAAAGGTACCCAATTCTCTGGGATCAAGCCGCTCGCGATTTTTGCCCCAGTGAGGCCTGGAACATTCTGGGTGCACTCGGCGTGCCGGGGCCTCGTGACGTCGTGGGACATGCTCAGTTCCACCGAACCCCTCTCCAAACCCACCCGAAACATACCCCAAACCCCCCGCAGCCCTAAGCCACCCGTCTCTGAGGATTTGCTGAGCTTTTGCGAGGAGAAACTGGCAGAGCTGACTGTGAAGGCGAGTCCGGGAGATATCTGGAATTCCGGAAAGCCAAGTGTTGCAGAAATGTGGATCTTACCCAGAAATCCCGTTTCATGGGTTTGGAGTTTGGGACGCAAAACAAAATGCTCGATTCCAGTGGCCTTCGACCGCTGGGCACCTCGTTCTATGCACAACAGGATTGAACAATTGGATATAGCGCAAAATGAACCAGGGGTTACGCAGGTTTTGGTCCATGTTTCCACTTGCCAGGGTTCCATTTTGGTCCCGGTGTTTTGAGCCACAGCCAATTCACTCTTCCTTTTCCTTGCTGCGCTTTACTGGACAACTTGAGATTCGAAACAGAATCACTTTTGGCGATCTGTGCTTGGTTGTATTTGATCTTTTGCCTGTTTCAGGCAGCTTGTGTTTTTTTGGCCACAGGTTGTTCCCACTTTTTGAAAACAAAACCGTGTCCATACCGTGTTTGCGAAAATGATTGAATCGACTTTCAGGTAGTCGCCGCCAGCTGCAGGGCAAAAGTCTAGGGTCCATTCCCTCGTCCTCGGGTTTGCAAAGGGGACGCCCTACCCCTGGGTCAAACATTTTTTTGTTCTGCCCTGTTTGAGAATGAACACATCGCCTTTGCAAACATTCGCACATGTTGGGCAGTGGGGTTCGCTATGGTTTGCCTGGGTTTGCTTGGAGTTTGCAGACGTTTGCCTGCGCCATGCAAGAATTCAAGGTACCAGCAACTTTGAGCCTGGATTGACAAAGCTGGTGGATCATTGCGGGCTCCGTGTTCAAAGTGAAAGACTTCCTCTACGTCACACTCCTTTTCAATGCAACTCGTTCCTGGATTCCCATGACCCGGCAACATCCCGGTTTTTGGCTCGCAGGAAGAGACGAAGATCTCCTTGGTGGTCGATTTGCTGCATGTGCCACACCCAGAAGGTTAGGTTCGATGGTTTCTGGATGGATCGCTCTAATCTCAATCTCAGGTGTGAGACTTTTGCAGTTCAGTCGGCTGTGTCTTACCTGGAATTCTGGGAACCTCTGAAGGGCGTGAGTGCCTTTGCCAGCCGTTCTTGAACCAGAGAGCCATGACCTCTTAGATTTGTCGTCTTTTAGGGAACCCACAAATAGTGATTGTCGTTTTGATGTCCCGTAGCAAGCCACAAAACACAAAAAAAGGTACCCTCAAAAACAGACACCCATGTGTTTGGTTGGTTCAGTAATCAAAAATTGGGAGTGGCGATCCGGAGGTCGCTGCCAATTTCGTGATTCGGGATTTAATCACATTTCGGGATTCAATCACATTTTCGGGATTCGGGATGCGGGATGCGGGATTCGGGCCTCGAATCACATTTTCGGGATTCGGGATTCGGGATTCGGGCCTCGAATCACATCTTCGGGATTCGGGATTTGGGATTCGGGATTCGGGACTCGAATCACATTTTCGGGATTCGGCATTCAGGATTCGGGATTCGGGACTGGGAAGGCCCCATCCTCAGATTCGAGATTCGGGGTTCGGGATTCGGGACTAGAATTACATTTTCGGGATTCGGGATTCAGGATTCACGTTTTCGGGATTCGGGATTCGGGATTTGGGATTCGGGATTCGGAATTCGGGACTGGGATGGCCCCATCCTCAGATTCGGGATTCGGGATTCGGGATTCGGGATTCGGGACTCGAATCACATTTTCGGGATTCGGGATTTGGGATTCGGGATTCGGGACTCGAATCACATTTTCGGGATTCGGCATTCAGGATTCGGGATTCGGGACTGGGAAGGCCCCATCCTCAGATTCGAGATTCGGGGTTCGGGATTCGGGACTAGAATCACATTTTCGGGATTCGGGATTCAGGATTCACGTTTTCGGGATTCGGGATTCGGGACTTGGGATTCGGGATTCGGAATTCGGGACTGGGATGGCCCCATCCTCAGATTCGGGATTCGGGATTCGGGATTCGGGATTCGGGACTCGAATCACATTTTCGGGATTCGGGATTTGGGATTCGGGATTCGGGACTCGAATCACATTTTCGGGATTCGGCATTCAGGATTCGGGATTCGGGACTGGGAAGGCCCCATCCTCAGATTCGGGATTCGGGATTCGGGATTCGCGCGCGAATCACATTCTCGACCAGGTTCTCCGGATCACGTCTCAAAATTGGCCAGGGCTTGTGGCCATGTGAGATTCGACCTTTCGCCATGTTTAGGGTTCGCAAGCAGCAGCATGCACTGACAATGCGTTGAAGATCGATTTGAACTTACAGTTGGGTTCATAATGCAAGCTGAATCTGAATTTTCTGAACAGGCACCACCTCCAAGTCTACATGATACTATATACGTTCTACCAGTTCGGAGGCTCGAGCATTTGAATCATAGATTGCAGCCCCCATCCTTCTTGCCTCAGGTGTCAGGTACCATGCGAGGAATCGTAAGGAGAGTTCTTATGTTGCCATGACTTAGCGTACACTGTTCGCTATGCAAGCACCCATGAACTAGCTGCCGGAGTATGCAATGACCCCAAGATCGCCCGGAGAGCACTTATTGCCTTTGGGTTCTGGTACAACGAACACTCAAAGGAGTCAGGTGTGGTTGAGCCACAGTCTGCCGTATGCATGCATGAATGTCACAGCGGACAAAGGCTGCTTATGTATATTCTGTCGTGAAACATGAGTATTGCAGGGGTGCGTATATTTGCGTTTGGGGCGATTAATGTCTCCACTTGACAATTGTACGGTGGAATTTCTAGAGCAGCTCAGCATCCCTGGGTCCCTAACCCCCAAGTGGCGGCCGGTCGGAAAGACATCGCAGGTGAGCCTGCAGCAGTTGAACTCGCACTGGTGGAAGGCGCGCCCATTTCTGGGATTTCCCCACCCTTCTTTCCCCCTTGTTTGGAAGGTTCCCCAAAATACAATGGTCGACCCAAAAAGGGTTCCATTTGTTCCCCAGTTTGTTTGGAAGGCGCAATGGTTAACCCCAAAAGGATTCCAATTTTGCTTCTACCAGGTCATTGGGCAACTGGGTTGAAGACTTGCAACGCAGAAATCAACTGGTACATGGCCAGAGCTACACAACATGCGCGTGAAAATACAGGGACGCCCTCCACATGGGCTGCGCAGCCTCAAAAACGCCCAGTCCCAGATAAACGCAGCATACCAGGAGCCTCAAAAACCGATGAACATGTCATACCTACAAAAAACACGATGTTCTTTGGAAAACACGATGTTTTCGGGAAACACAGCATTTTCGATTTGACGCATTTTCCCATACTTTCCTTCAACTCGTCATCAGTTCTCAAAAGATCTCAAAAGCATCATCTCAACCTCAGAATCTCCCATTGCCCTCCCCTTTTGCGCTCGCAACGAAATCAGCTTTGCATGCGCCACTCGTCTTTCGCAACTCCAATCTGAAAGAAGGAGGCCGGACCCAAATAGTCAAAAGTACCACGGTTTTAGTTTTATGACACTTGTCAAGCAGCAATGCCACGTGCTGGCTTCGAACAGCGCGCAAGCTCAAGCAAAGACCGTGCTTTTGCTCACGACTTCGTTGTTTTCCAGCAACGATCTCGAAATAGCGCATTCGTGGATGAACCCGAAAAACCCATAGAATTTCCACGGTTTGCCACGCTTTACTACGGGTTTTCCACGGTTTAGCTACGGGTTAGAAAACACGATGTTTTCCAAAAACACAATGTTTTCGGTTGGGGCTGCGGGTTTTCTACGGGTTTCTACGGGTTTCTACGGGTTTTCTACGGGTTTCTACGGGTTTTCTACGGGTTTCTGCGGTTAGCCGCCAGGATCCCGCCCCATTTTCCAAAAAACACTCAAAAGTCATTAAAAAAAAGAAAAACAATCTCAAAAGGTGTCACCTGGTCTTGTTTTGCATTAAAAGGAACTTTGGGATTCCAGCACCCCCCTCAAACTGGTTCGGTATGACCTGGCGCCAGTCTTCAGGTGCCTGTTGCTGTGAAGGTACTTAAAGACTGAAGCCAGCTGCGCACCCTGGCTGTCAGGCTCATCAATGTGGTCCTTAGAATTTGAAGCATACTCAGTATAGAGCGTTGCCCTCAGTTGAAATCTTAATGGGTGATGCCTGTGTGAATTCCACTCCTTTGACCCTTTGCTCCAAATGAGTGTTTGGCCTCAGAAGCCCATTTTAAATTGGCTTTATCAAAAACACGATGTTTTTCCTGAAAACACGATGTTTTCAGAAATTCGTGCAAAAACACAATGTTTTAGTCAGGGTACGACATCTTTACAGGTTCTTGAAGCCCTAGGTAGTTGAAGCTGGTATTTTTCAGGAGAAAGCGTCTTGTAGACTGTGCAGGCACGACACCCTTTGAAATCTACCCGGAAGTTTGCTTTTTGCACAACAACCCTGTATACATCCCCAATTAAGATTTCAATTCAAGCGAATGCTTGGCAAGATCCACCTCGCCCATCAAGAACCATTGTGCAGCAAGAGCCATTTCCGTAAGGGTACAAACAAATATCAGCAATCCCTCACCGCTTCAATCTGCAGATACTGGCGCCCCGAGTCTTGGACATGGTGGAGGATCGCTTCCCGCAGCATGGGGCCCCAAAGTGCCAAAAGAGACGACAGAGCGGTCGGTTAAGGCCACGAACCAAACAGGTGAAACGACTTGTCCCCAGTCTACTGGAGATCCCTGCGGGTTTTTCGCGCTGGCCGTTCGTGTCCAAGATTGACAGTCTCTGTGCATCCCGAGTTGCGTTCCGTCATAACGGGCGTTGCTGTGCTGCTACGCCCTTTAGGCAAGTGAGGGAAAGACACCTTCTTCTCTCGTTGACTTAGCACAACTATAGTCGCTCCGGTCAGTCCAACACAAAAGACGCCTGTTTTGGGCGACATGCTCCATTTTTGAAAGAAGGAAGCTATGTACTAATACAATGCAGATTGCTTAAGATGTGCTTTGTGCCGTTACCTCCAAACGTGACTGGGCAGCTCCAGGCAGCTCCAAGTTGAACTTGTGTTGCTCAAGGGTGATGACAAAACACATGACTGCTTCCAGAGCTGCTTTTGGACTGAATACCTCATACAACATCTGCGCAAAGCTCAAACTGAAGCAACAGACAAAGTCACATGCAGAAGTGTGGACTATGCGGCACGAATAGGGGGCTGTTCAGTTCATGACAAGAAGAAGCCAGGATAAAAGCAACCATTTGGAGCGACGGCTTTAAAAAATCCTCAACATTGGCGACACTTGGGCCTTGGCTTTTCTGCAAGCTTGATTTGCTATGAGGGATGGAGGAAGCAGTTGCTCACCTTGCCATGGACGGTTCCGCCATCGAGTCGTCCTTGACCCGTGGTTGAAACTTAGTATATTTTTACTACAAGTCATTCGCTGCGGCCTAGTCGAATCAAACAACACCGGTGATGGCATGCTTACTGGTAGCGTGGATGTTGCAACGTGCTTTGGCTGACTGGGGCTCCGTTTGGGGCTCCGCTTTGGTTCAGGGCTTCGGCATCACGTGGGGTCTGACGGACGCTATGTTTCCTGATATTCAGTAACTTCAATTAATCAGACATATATAAATCCAAAATGTTCAATCAAGCAGATCAGGGACAATGGGTCTGGCAGGGTGCCAAAAGGTCCGCCAGAGGCAATTCGCCGTACCTGACTTGAGAAGGCGGTGTAGCACTTTGCCCTTCAAACCTGTCCACCGAACACAGCCACATTCCCAGAACACTGCAACCGAATGTCGAAGCCGGTCTATTGAAGCGGCAAACAAAGGCGCTGGCAAAGTTTGGGTGCCTCTATGCCTTAGGTGCTTTGCGCGATATGTCCACATTGGTGTTTTTTCTTGTGGTTTCTCTTGTCCCACGGAGGGGCTGCATTTTGATAGCCTGTTTCGGTCTGAGGTTGGACGAGCTGATCTTTGTACGCGCCAACCGGCTGTCCAGCCTAGCCGCAGAACGCGTGATCGTGCTGGGCCCACAGAGGATGGTCTGATCAATCGGTTCGGAAGAATGGGGTCCCCCAAATGTTGCAAGCATCCAAAACAGATCTTACTCCCAGAGCTACTGGACTTTATTCTTTTGGGAAGACCATTTTATTGGACAGACAAACAGCTTGGACTGTTTGTTGGCCAATCCAGTCAGAAACTGAGAAGTGACTTTCCACCCCACAGGGACCCCCCCCCCCCCCGGCGCGCGCACGCGCCGGGCCTCCGAGGTCCACTCGCCTGCGGGCGTCGGTCCTCAGCGGCGACGAGATCGCCGCTGAGGCGGCGCTGCAGTCCCGAGGCTGGGAAATTCGTCGTCTGGACCGGGGCTCCTCGTATGGGTCAAAATTCAACCAGGGGACCGCGGGTTTGAGTCGATGTTTTTATTTACCAGGGTTCCACTTTGGGTACCTATTTTCCATTTTGCCTATGTGAAACATGGCGCTTTTTCCACCAAAGTAAGGGGAAACCACCATTGACAAGGCAATGTTCAGGTGTACAATGTAAGGATCCCTGTTGGAGGACATCTTTGGAGAAGTCATCCTTTTGGACGTCTTAACATTTTTGTTCGTCCCTCTAAAAAGTTGTGTCGGACTGAAGAAAGCTGTTGATGGACTAGGCCTCCTCTGTTTCAGGTGAGCAGAGTTGACAGCTGTTTCGCTATTTGCAAGGTGCTGTATTTGCCACTTGTGCAGGGCTCATACCCCAACCTGACAGGTCTACATGTTCTAGATGTTCGGTGGTGTCATTGTCTGCCGCACCACCCCTGTCCTTTGAAAACCGTCTGAGGAAGGAAGCCGGTGCACTCCCTGCGTTGATCTTCTCACCTGTGAAACAGGATCCAAGTCTCTGGCCACCAGCCTCGAAACCACGCATGTTCGAGGGCCCTCTATTTGACTGCCTCAGTTGTTCAAAGCGAATCGACCTTTTGACCTTTTGGTTTTCCCATATTGGTCCATGTTTAGTCATGGCCCCAAAAGGTTAACCTTTTAGTTGCAGGTCCTTTGGGCAACTGAGCTGCAAATGGCAAGGACGAATAGATGTTCATGGAGGGTCAATCAATGTATGCATTGCACTTAGGTCTACATACCGGCTGTGCAATCGAATGGTTTGGCAAGAAGGGCAACAATTAACAAGCCCCACGCTTTGCAACCAACCTGGACGTTGGACATTGCAAGACGCGCCTTGGATTGTTTGAATGGGCCCTTACCTGAAAGGGATGACCGTCAAGAAACGTCAGAGATGATGATCGCACAAAGCTCCGTTGGCCATCCCACCAGCAGTTTTAGCCGGGTTCTTCAAAGACTATCCCGAAGCCTGATACCAGGTTTTCACGATTTCCCCTGTTGTAATTAGTGGAGTCCCACCATGGAGTACAACCCATCTTGAGCAACCGATCCTGATGCTTGTAGGTCCTTGGGTCCAGTTTCTTGGCTCTGCGGAGGTCTGGGCTTCGTCAGTGACTGCTTCTTCAGGCCCGTGAGATGCACTCGGGATTCGAATCCAATACGGCAATGTGGCTGCTGAATCTGCTTGTTTAAAGTGTTTAGGATTGTTTAGCGCTGGCTTGGCCGTGCCCGTCGGCTCCGGCGGTCGTAGAAACTACGTGGCAGGTGTGTTTTTGTGCGATTGCGTGCGCAGTGGTTTGAAGCATTTGATGGACTGAGACAATCATGTCCGATCCTGCTTGAATGGCAATGCAAGAAAAGTCATTGCTCCATACATCGGAAATGTCGCTTCATTCCTTTTTCGAGAGGAGCTTCCTCGCATTTCCAATGCATCTCAAAATCAACTGGCCATGCCTGTTAATACTCACCATGTGACAGCGCATTGGGCCGCGCATGTGGAAGCTGCTTTGCGTTCGCAAGAGAGCACATTCAGCACAACAAACACATGCACATACAGATGCATACTTACATATTATATATGCATGTTTGTGTGTGCTTGTAATACGTTGGCACTTCGTCCATCCCCCTGCGCTTTGCAGGGACCCTTCCATCTCTGCGGTGGAGTTCGCGCAGAAGCGCGCGGGGCTCGTGTTTTACTTGGTTTGAACGGGGTTGCTGAGAATGAATCCGCAAGACGAGTGCGCGCGCGCGCGGTGTGTGTGTGTGTGTGTGTGTGTGTGTGTCTGTGTGTGTCTGTGTGTGTCTGTGTGTGTCTGTGTGTGTCTGTGTGTGTCTGTGTGTGTCTGTGTGTGTCTGTGTGTGTCTGTGTGTGTCTGTGTGTGTCTGTGTGTGTCTGTGTGTGTGTGTCTGTGTGTGTCTGTGTGTGTCTGTGTGTGTCTGTGTGTGTCTGTGTGTGTCTGTGTGTGTCTGTGTGTGTCTGTGTGTGTCTGTGTGTGTCTGTGTGTGTGTGTCTGTGTGTGTCTGTGTGTGTCTGTGTGTGTCTGTGTGTGTCTGTGTGTGTCTGTGTGTGTCTGTGTGTGTCTGTGTGTGTCTGTGTGTGTCTGTGTGTGTCTGTGTGTGTCTGTGTGTGTCTGTGTGTGTCTGTGTGTGTCTGTGTGTGTCTGTGTGTGTCTGTGTGTGTCTGTGTGTGTCTGTGTGTGTGTCTGTGTGTGTGTGTGTGTGTTTGTGTGTGTGTGTGTGTTCTTTTGAGGGAAGGAAAACCACCGTTTCTGGTTTGGGGGCTCCCTAGTGAAGAGAAAGCCATGCCAGATTTTCCCTCAACCCGCTGAGTCCTATACTGTAGATTGCCGATGAGGATTGTGGATCCACCAGTTTGAACAACCTACTCAAACAGCGCAAAGCGCAATGTCCGCAAGGACACGGTTAAGTATCACACACGTGGCTTTGCTCGTGGTGGTTGCGCCTGATTTTGATGTGCATTCAACACCTTTGCTCATTGGATGTACAACGCCAGCAACTTGGCTTGTTCATGAATTATACGGAGTAGCCCCTTGGGATCAAATTATTTTGAGTTTACCATGTTTACCTTCACCCCATGGGCCCCGAGTCCAACACCGGGTTGCCCAAATGCTGAAAAGCCATCCTAAAAACGGGGTCCACCGTAGCACGAGTCCACCCACACCAGGCTAAAACAAGCCATCCTAAAAGGTACACCTTTTGTGAGAAATTACTATTTTGATTTTTGAAGCACGAGTCCACCCACTCCATGGGCTTTAGGTCGGGAACAGCTGCGCCGCGTTCGGCGCTGGCGGCGCTGGATCACCGGCCTGCGGGGCGCTTTGAGACCGAACCTGGCGCCGAGCGAGCGGTTTTGCCAAGCGAAGCAGACAACCCAACTCGTTTTTCTCGGCTGGTTTGCGGTTGTTGTTTTTTTGCGAAGAGAAGCATGCCCTCTCACAACAGTGGGTGGGCTGAGTGGTCAGTTCACGATTGGTGATGGCCTTGGCGATAGTAGTAGTGGCGGTGGCTTGCACATATCAAGCTCATTGGGGTTTGCTCGGCTGCGGGCACAAGTTTAGACCGGGAATCCACTGGAAGCCAAGAATTGCGAAGGAATCCCAAAGGATGCTCAAATCCATGAACCTTCACGGGCCAAGTGGCATTCCTTCCGCAGATATCTTTAGTTGGCAAGTGGCAACCTTTTTTCTTTTCGAGCAGCAGCACACATAGGGCGCCTTGCTTCCCACTGGCCACTGAGCAAGACTGCATCGAGGTACAATGCTTGGAGTATTGACGCCTGAAGCAAGTTGCTGTGCCGTTTACAGGGGTGAGCTTCGCTGTTGCGAGAGGATGACACGGCCCATTCAGGATGGCCTATATCAGGTGTTGTTAGCGCTTATTTTGCCAGGAGGTTACTTCAATATGGCCCTGAGCATTTTGAAAGCGGGGTAAACTTCAACATGAGTCATGCTTTAGATCAAAAAGCAAAAACAAAAACACAATAAGAAACGGAAAAACACACAGCACCCACCCGGATCGCGGACCCGAGGCTCGTGGCGATTCTGGCCGCTTGCCAGCACATAGTTTTTTCAGAGGGAAACCAACAGGGGATGCCGGGGGGTCCTTACCGATTCCCATTAAAAGAATGGTTGACCCAATTTGGATTTCGAAAGTCCTTTGGTAAACAATGGGGATGGGGTGGGGATGCTTGACTTTGTCTAGACCCCCAAATAGGGTACCCAGTTGCAGACTAGCATGCAAAGATACCGCGGACGACATTCTGCACCAGCTGGCATACATGAAGCCCAGTAAAGTCTACGAGAAAAATCACCTGCCAACCGGTGCAGGAATTTTGTCCATACAGGCATTGGAAAAGGACACCATGTGGCTGTAAACGGACTACCAGTCGGATAGCAAGCATGGCCTGAACCTCCACTCGTCAAGCCCAGGTCTTGCTTCTTGGCCAGATCCTGGGTGTTTTGCCAGTTCGAGGCTCGGTTTGGTCGCTCCGGTAGGCAAATTTACATCCATGCAGCAGTCAGCGAACTTTGGCCCGAGAGCGCATGTCGGGTTTCCACGCAGGCGCGGACTTTGACTGGGCTGGCCTGTGGCAAGTTGTCCGCGACTGGGAGATGCTTCACCACGTGGGTGCCGAACTCAATCCGATGGGCGCGAACCTGCGATTTATTTTGAAAGTAGTGTGGCAAAGGGGATGTGTTTCGGGCCACTTTCCCTAACAATTGCAAGAACAAAAAAGCTTTGAAGTGACAAAGTAGTCATAGGGATGGCTCGTGGTGGCCAGCTTTGGTATCCCAGATAGGGTGATTTCCCACAACTAATTTGAGATTCCCTTTCTCCCACGGACATGGCACGCGACCGAGCGTCCCTTGAAGAGGAAGCTTGTCTGTCAGGTGGGGAAAGAGTGCTGCTCCATGGCTTTAAAACCCCCAACATGTGGACCATAATCTAGAAAATATACTGTCAGTTGGGGTGAAACACGAAGCGGAGGTAGTAAAGGGACGAAAGGTTGGGCAGATTGAGGGACATGTGGTTTGTCGAACATGGGCGTCGGTCTTTTTTTTGCGAGCTGACTTGGGGACAAATTGTGTGCCACAGGATCAGGGAAATGGTCGTGACTGTCGTGACCGCATGGGGGTTCGTGATCCTCGCTCCATGGCAAGCCGTGGTTGTCTTTGGGCGAGCCACTTGGTCCACTTTGACTTCCAGTTCCTCAGTATTTGAACATAACCAGTTGGTTCAATCTGGCAGCATCAAACGTCCACAAGTCGTATGACTATGTATTACTTGATCAGCGCCTTATGGGATTTCTAAGTCCATGGCTACTTGGGCAATCAAGACAGACCTTCAGGGCAGCCCTGCTTTGAATTTGTGGTGGGATGTGAGCCCCAGTTCCTTTTGATGGGTAAGGCAGCCCGAAACCACCAAAAGACCCCAAAAACCGCCAAGAGCTCACGGTGTAGTGGGATGTGACCATGTCCGGGCTGAGCTCCGAGTCGTGTCGCTGCTGCCACAGCTGCTGCTGTTGGGTTTCTTGCTGTGGCGCCCCAAGGGTGCTCAGACCTCAGACCGCGCGCGGGATGGGAGCCCTTTACCTCAACAGTCACCCCCCCCTCCATTTTGAGCCTGGGATAGTTGGATTTTTTACCCGAAAACCGATATGTAATACTTCCATGTGTTTTGCTTTTGTGGGGAAGGTTGGGAGGACGACTCCAACTAAAAGGGGGCTCCTAGTTTGAAACAATCCCTGCTCGGTAATTGTCTCAAGCTTGCCAAATATGGGGCTTGTCCAAAAACGAGGAACCCTGTGTTGGATGGAATTCGCCCACATTTAGCAGGGCTCATTAAAAGATACATGTTGCCCATTTGAAACATGTTTTTTTCCACCAAAATACAAGGAAACCACCATTTACAAAGCAATGTTCAGGTGTATAATGTAAGGAACCCTGTTTAGGGTTCCCTATCGTAGGACACACCCAGGTATTGCAAGAAGTTGGAAACTGTATTGCGACCAACTTTCCGCAATTTACATGTTCTTTTGATTGAACAGGTTGGAAGCTCTGTGATTGTCCGCAAGTTGCCCAGGGCTTTGTGTGTGTGTATGTGTGTGTGTGTTTGTGGCTGTGGTTGCGTAGTTGCAACAGGGAATCAACCATCCTCAACCGTCAGAATCCGCAGGTGAAGAGTGGCTTCAGAGTTGCCCCTGACGGTTGACCCTTACAGGCAAACAAGTAGGATGTTGCCCGAGGTTGGGTCAAAATCTAATACTGCGTGCCTTTTGGATGCTTGTCTGTTTGCCGATTCCTTGCAGATGTCAGGCAGATGTTGTTTGTTTCAGTTTGAAGAGAAAAACTCAGCAGGATATATTTCATCCCGATCTAGACTCGTTGGTAGGGGTTGATTCGGTTTCTGTTGAGAGCCCTGAGCCGGATGTTGCAGGTTGAGCAAACCATGTTTCAAGAAACATTGGCCCCAGCACTCGGCGGAGCAAGGTGCAAGCCTAATTCATCAAGTGGAAGCTTGTGGTGGGAAAAGAAGACAGCAAAAGAGGTTTGACATCCGTGTTTTTGGGGTTCGAGCAATTGTTCGATTTCCCGGAGTTCACCACATCATAATCGATGAATCTACGCATCCCATCATATATGCAATCAATGAATACACGCATCCTTGCAACTGTTTTCCATGGGCTTCAGCGAGCGTTTCGTTTGTTTCCAGGAAGCAGACACGGCCCAGATGCTCGTCTTACTGATCGGCAGCCCTTTGGCGTGGGCCCGCGCCTGAGAGAACTTTGCCGCAGGCATTTTGTTTTCGTGGGTATGGCTCGAAACCTGTTGAATTGGTTCAAACAAATTTGGTTTGCTTCCCTTTCAGCTTCCTCAACCAGCTTCAATAGTTTCAGTAGGGGTCTCTAGTTTTGATACACCCTGATGTTTGCTCATTGACAGCCGAAGGCTTCTAGATGCGCCCAACAGCCCCAGCTCCTGCTTGTTTGTTTTTTTTGAAGCAAGATAGTGCTTCTGATTGATGCGGCCGGTCCCCAAGCAATGCAAGTCCAGCGATTCTAAGCCGTGCTTCTTTTTGGATTGTCAGGGGGAATCCAGTGATCCCTGGTGATTTTGTGACTTGTAGGCTGAAGTTGACCAGTCACCTAGCCAAAACAAGTGTACCTTGACCAGTCACCTGCACAAAACCTGGGAAGTTCAAAACCTTGACAGGGACGTTGACCCGGCCAGGCCAGCGCGTATGCCGGCAATGCCCCGGCTCCTTTGGCCGCCGCTGCCCCTGCGCTGGTGACGGCCTGGAGGGCCAAGCAACGGGGCGGACGTCGGAGACTCCGTTTTTGGTTGGTTTCAAACAGAAGATAAGGGGCATTTGGATGTTTTATTCCCTGCCTGGTTGGCATTTGGATGTTGAGCTTCAGATTGGACCTTCATTTTCTTGCCGGTGCAGGGAATGCGAATTGGAATGACCCCTATACGCTTGTCTTTTTTTAAACTTCCGGTTCATTCCCAACACCCGGACTGGTCATTCCCGCCTGAGCACCAGCAAGTACAAGAGAAGACCGTTGTTTTAGGGGCCCCTATCCTGACACACACCCAAGTGACCCTGTGTACGGGGGCTAAGCCACGGTCAAAGCATGCCACGGTCAAAGCATGGGGGTATCCATGTCATGGTCAAAATACCGGGAAACGGGGTCGGACTCTGGAAAACCTGTTGGAATGTCTCGAAGAGGCGGCCAGTGGGGAATCGAGATTCTCAGAACTTCCAGATTCCCTCCCCACTGCATATAGCTTTGCAAGGAAACCTTCACGCGATGTCATTTGGTCGATACATGACAAGATGTCCTTGCTTCCCATTCGGTCAGCAAGAAAACAAGCCGCCAATTTCATCCTGCGGGTGTATCTTTCAGGAACCAACCCTGTGGCTGATTTTCCAGCTCGCGATTCTGCCCAAACTCGGATTCAGGGACGGCCCACGCGCGTGAAAATATGCTATGTTGGAGCCCACCGGAATCCAGCGGACGCTTCCTGTGTCATACTCCAAGGACAGACCAAGTCAAGCCCGCGTGTCGTTTGATACCTGGTCGGAAGCAACCCGCGAGATATTTGCCCTTTGGAGTTTCAAAGCGGCCATACCGTCTTGCCGTGACCGCGCTCCCCCATTGGGCCTTGCTCCGTCTTACTCCCCTGAAGAGATGCCCCCGAAAGGCGATTCCTCCAAACATGAAGATGATGTTTTTTGTGCTACCTCCATGGCTCACAATGTGGGGATGGCGAATCAATTCTGTCAGGAAGTGAGTTCCATGGAAATTCCATGGAACCGTTTGCGGGTTTGCACAAGCGATGTTCTCTCCGAGGCTCTGCTGGGGCTTGCAGTGATCCCTTGGAAGGAGCCAAAGGCGGGAGACTCAGCCCTTCGGCCTTAGGCTGGGTAAACTTGTGTCTCACGTCAAGACTGGAGGTCTGTTAATTTCAGTTGTACCTTTGTATGTGATTCATGGCACTCTGTTTGTTCAATCAATATTTTAGTGCCTCCGGCTCAGGCCGCCGACATTACAGGCCTGCTTTCTTATTTGCGTCCCTTTGGAATTGTCCCCTTGCCCCCTTCCCCTCTGAGATTTTTGCCCCCCTTTCTTTGTTGAGATCCATTCCCCCTTTCCGCCCTAAGGCCTTTTCTCCCTCTGATTTTTCCCTTTTCCTCCCTAAGATGTTTTCCCCCCTCTCCCTGTTGAGATCCTCTTCCCCCCCTTTCCCTGTTGAGATCCTTTCCCCCCTTTCCCCCCTACGGCCTTTCCCCCCGCTGAGATCTTCCCTTAAGATCCTTTGCCCCCTGTCCCCGTTGAGATCCTTTCCCTTCTTCCCTTTAAGGCCTTTCCAGATCTTCTCCCTTTTCCTTCCTAAGATTGTTTCCCCCCTTTCCCTGTTGAGATCCTTCCCACCCTTTCCCCCCTCAGGCCTTTCCCCCCTGAGAGCTTCTCCCTTTTCCTTCCTTAGATCTTTCCCCCCTTTCCCTGTTGGCCTTTTTTGCCCCAGATCTTCTCCCTTTCCTCCCTAAGATCTTTTCCACCCCTTCCCTGTTGAGATCATTTCTCCCCTTTCCCCTCTAAGGCCTTTGTCCCCAGATCTTCTCCCTTTCCTCCCTAAGATCTTTCCCCCCCCCTTTCCCTGCTGAGAAGGCCTTTCCCCCCCCTGAGAGCTTCTCCCTTTTCCTTCCGAAGATCTTTTCCCCCCTTTCCCTGTTAGGCTTTCCCCCCTAAGTCCTTTTCTCCCAGATCGTCTCCCTTTCCTCCCTAAGATCTTCCCCCCCCTTTCCTCCTTAAGATCTTTCCCACCCTTTCCCTGTTGAGATCCTTTCCCCCCTTTCCCTCCCAAGGCCTTTCCCCCCCCTGAGAGCTTCTCCCTTTTCCTTCCTGAGATCTTTTCCCCCCTTTCCCTGTTGGGCTTTCCCCCCTAAGTCCTTTTCTCCCAGATCTTCTCCCTTTCCTCCCTAAGATCTTCCTCCCCCCCTTTCCTTCCTAAGATTGTTTCCCCCCTTTCCCTGTTGAGATCCTTCCCACCCTTTCCCCCTGAGGCCTTTCCCCCCTTGAGAGCTTCTCCTTCCTTAGATCTTTCCCCCCTGACCCTGTTGGCCTTTTTTCCCCCAGATCTTCTCCCTTTCCTCCCTAAGATCTTGTCCACCCCTTTCCCTGTTGAGATCATTTCTCCCCTTTTCCCCCTAAGGCCTTTGCCCCCAGATCTTCTCCCTTTCCTCCTTAAGATCTTTCCCCCCCTTTCCCTGCTCAGATCCTTTCCCCCCTTTCCCCCCTAAGGCCTTTCCCCCCCTGAGATCTTCTCCCTTTTCCTCCCTAAGATCTTTTGCAACCTTTCCCTGTTGAGATCCATTCCCCCGTTCCCCCCTAAGGCACATTCTCCCTCTGAGTTTTTCCCTTTTCCTCCCTACGATGTTTTCCCCCCTCTCTGTGTTGGGATCCTTTCCCTCCTTTCCCCCCTAAGGCCTTTTTCCCCCCGCGATCTTCCCCCTTTTCCTTCCTAAGATCTTTTCCCCCCTTTCCTTGTTGAGATCCTTTCCCGCCCTTTCCCCCCTAAGGCGTTTTCCCCCCCAAGATCTTCTCCCTTTTCCTCCCTAAGATCCTTTGCCCCCTTTCCCTGTTGAGACCCTTTCCCCCCTTTCCCCCCTAAGGCCTTGCCCCCCTGAGATCTTCTCCCTTGTCCTCCCCAAGATCTTTTCCCTTGGTTGAGATCCGTTCCCCCTTTCCCCCCGAGATCTTCTCCCTTTTCCTCCCTAGGATCTTCTCCCACCTTTCCCTGTTGAGCTCCTTTCCCCCTTTTCCCCCTAAGGCCTTTTCAGATCTTCTCCCTTTTCCTCCCTAAGATCCTTTGCCCCCTTTCCCTGTTGAGATCCTTTCCCCCTTTCCCCCCTAAGGCCTTTTCCCTGCCTGGGACCTTCTCCCTTTCCTCACTGAGATCTTTCCCCCCCTTTCCCTGTTGAGATCCTTTCCCCCCTTTCCCCCCTACGGCCTTTCCCCCCGCTGAGATCTTCTTCCTATTCCTCCTTAAGATCCTTTGCCCCCTTTCCCTGTTGAGATCCTTTCCCCCCTTCCCTTTAAGGCCTTTCCAGATCTTCTCCCTTTTCCTTCCTAAGATTGTTTCCCCCCCCCTGTTGAGATCCTTCCCACCCTTTCGCCCCTCAGGCCTTTCCCCCCCCTGAGAGCTTCTCCCTTTTCCTTCCTTAGATCTTTCCCCCCTTTCCCTGTTGGCCTTTTTTCCCCCAGATCTTCTCCCTTTCCTCCCTAAGATCTTTTCCACCCCATTCCCTGTTGAGATCATTTCTCCCCTTTCCCCCCTAAGGCCTTTGTCCCCAGATCTTCTCCCTTTCCTCCCTAAGATCTCCCCCCCCCCCCCTTTCCCTGCTGAGATCCTTTTCCACATTTCCCCTCTAAGGCCTTTCCCCCCCCTGACAGCTTCTCCATTTTCCTTCCTAAATCTTTTCCTCCCTTTCCCTGTTGGGCTTTCCCCCCTAAGTCCTTTTCTCCCAGATCTTCTCCCTTTCCTCCCTAAGATCTTCCCCCCCCCCCCTTTCCTCCTTAAGATCTTTCCCACCCTTTCCCTGTTGAGATCCTTTCCCCCCTTTCCCTCCCAAGGCCTTTCCCCCCCTGAGAGCTTCTCCCTTTTCCGAAGATCTTTTGCCCCCTCTCCCTGTTGGCCTTTTTTCCCCAGATCTTCTCCCTTTCCTCCCTAAGATCTTTTCCACCCCTTTCCCTGTTGAGATCATTTCTCCCCTTTCCCCCCTAAGGCCTTTTTGCCCTAGATCTTCTGCCTTTCCTCCCTAAGATCTTTCCCCCCCCAGTTCCCTGTTGAGATCATTTATTTCCACCCTTTTCCTTCGAAGGCCTTTTCCCACCCTCAGTTCTTCTCCCTTTTCCTCCCAAAGATCTTTCCCCCCCTTTCCTCCCTAAGTCCTTTTCCCTGAGTTCGTCTCCCTTTGCCTCCCTAAGATCTTTTCCCCCCTTTCCCGCTTAAGATCCTTTCCCCCGTTTCCCCCCTAAGGCCTTTTCCCCCCAAGATCTCCACCCTTCTCTTCCCAAAGTCTTTTTCCCCCTTTCCCGTTTGAGATCCTGTCCCCCCATTGCCCCTTAGGGCCTGTTCCCCCCGAGAAAGATTTCCCTTTTCCTCCCAAAGATCTTTTCCCCCCTTTCCCCCTTAAGGCATTTTTTCCCCAGATCTTCTCCCTGTCCTCCCTGAGATCTTTCCCCCCCTTTCGCTGTTGAGATCCTTTCCGCCTTTCCCCCCTTCATTTCCTTCACCAGCATGGGCAACATCCCCAGCATCACTTGCATCATCCGCATCCTTGGCAGGCGCTGATGCGGATGATGCAGGTGATGCTGGCGATGTGCCGCTGGAGCTGCTGAGGATGCGAAAGCGCACCCGGGGGGAATCAAACACCCCAATGTTTTTGACAAACCCGCACCATGAACAGATTTAGTGAAGCGTCTTCGAATCACCGCGTGGTACGTGGACCCCCCCCCCCGGCAAGAGGGATAGGGGAGGGGAAGAGGTAAGGAGCATTTTTTGTGTCCAACACGCCGTCTGTTGTCGGCGGACTTTCAGCACAGGCTACTAAATCAACTTTCAACGCTTGGACCCCTCGAAACAAAGGGGCCTTTGAGAGTGCATAGTCCTTCCTTGATGATAGAGGGTCATGAACTTGAAGTCAGGGGCACAACACATGAGGATTTGACAATATGATTGGTTATCCCTCCATCTAATTCTTGATCATTGCTGCCCGCCTTGGGAGGCCAATGATTTCAATCTGCTTGAAGTTATCCTGAGTTGGTGATCTGCTTGTTTGATTTTCAGCAATCAGCCAACAGGGAGACGGCCATTTGAGCTGCCCATACGACTCATGGGGCTGTTCCAGCCGTTTCGCGCCAGGCGACAGCCACCGACGCGGGGGAGCCTGTGGGTGAGTCGGCACCAGCATTCCAGCAGAATGTGCAAGGAACGCAGATGGTTTCGTTTGGTCGACACATTTTCTGACATGTTGGTGCCTTGGAACAAATCCTTAGCTTTGATTTATCCTGGCCGTCTCCCCTCAACGGTTTGGTTTGGATCATTTCAGTGGCGGCTTTTCAAAGCGGATCCAGCACTGAGTCATGGGATGGTCCTTCCGGGCAACGCACTTCCCGACTTGGACCGGTCTAAACAGAACGGTCATACTTGTTTGGCCATAGGGAAGTGAGTAAACAGTCATTATTTGGCTGATTAGGCTTCCACCTTGTTTTGCCATGGCTCCAATTTCACCAAATGCATCGCAACCAAGGGAACCTTCCACATGGTGGGTGTGTTCTCGTTTCCACGCCCGGCCAATATGAAACAAGGCGCTCGTTTGTGCTGCAGGCTAGCACCATGGGTGCCCTCCTGGATCAACATCTCCACCTCCTTCGTCGAAACGGGGAGGTCCCGAAATGTAAGTACCGCATTTTGGAGGTGGCCCCCCACTTGTGCCCCATTGCAAGTATACCAACCACACCAGACCACATAAAACCATGGTACAGCGTGGTAAACTGGCAGGTGCCGTTGGTCCCTCCTTGCGATCATCCAACGCCATGGAAGCATCGATTCGCGAGGCCGCACGGCGCAAGGGCGCCTGGTGGCCGGAGGCGCAAGTGCAACTACTCAGTCCTGGGCTGGGTGCAAAATGTGGAAACGACAACGGCAACAACCTGCAAATTCCCTTCAAAATGAACACAAACAACCTGCTTGTTCCCTTTAAAATGAAGACACACAACTCACTTCCCGTTGTGTTTTTTTTGGGACTTTTTGTTGGCCGATCTGCTTAGGCACCGAGGGGCTGTCCTCACGTGTCGGATTTGTCAGCCAAATTTGCAAACAAGTTGTGTACGATAGACTCATTGCACCGCAACAGTTCTTTCGTTCACGCGTTGGTGACTGTTGAATGTGCTGTTTGCCAAGTTGTTTTTTTCTACGTTTAACATTCCCCCAACATCCCCGTGGTTTCCAGTTTGCACGGCCGCAAAACCGATCGCAGGGGATGATCCGCATAGTCAAAACACCCACGTGTCAGTGAATTGCGGGACCTCAATCGACCCTGGAGAAGCTTCCCAAATGGGTGTGGGTCAAAACCAATGGTACCATTTTGGGGTAGGTGCACCCCCGATTTTAGTCTATTTTAGTGGGATTGGGATGTTCACTGGGGGTGCGCGCTTTTGACCCATGGCCAAATCGCATCCAGTGCTTGGTTTCTTTTTAGCCGGGTTGAGGTCGACATATTGCTCGCCAGTTGGTGCACGGCGCCTATGGTGAGCCGCGCTTTGCGGTGCCAGAGGAATCCGTCACCAGGAGCCTTTGGGGGCCAGTCAGAGGTCGAAAGTCTTGCGGTGCATGGCATAGTGCTCGTGTTTAACCAGTGATTTCCTGAACATATTCCACATAGTTATCCAGGTTTGACATATTTTCCTAAATGGCCATCAACATCAATACTTGAGGTCTTCAATGATGATACGCATTTGCCAGTTTTACCTAGTCCCGCATGGGAACCATGTACTTTTCTTTATTCATACAGCGCTGAATTTGGCAGGCACCATTGGCCCTCAGCCATCTTTGCTTCACTCAAGATATTTCTGAGATGGTCTCCGCGATTAGCCAGTTGGGAATGCACAAGAACTCGAGATTCCCAGATGTTCGGTTTACGTTGGTTCGCTTTTGCAAGAATCAAGCAAGGGATGCCTTTTTGTTGACTCAATTTCTTGGCGATCCCTGAAGGTCACTGCAAACTCCTGTTGGTCTATACTTAGCCAGCTGTTTTGCCCATGACGTAGTCAAATTCCGCTTTGCTTCGGCATGTGTTTAAAGGATGGCTTGTCTTGCACGAGGACCCAGAGAGAGAGATCTCCAATTCCGACAGTTTCCATTGTGCATGTTGTTTTTTGTTGTTGATCGAATCCAACTTCAACCTGTGGTCGCGCCCGTGAAATGTCAATCCCAATGTGTTCCCAAGTCGGGTGGTGCTTTCAGGATTGGGGATGATCACCCGTGTTTCTTGTTCATCACACACACACACATACAGTCTGACGTATGCCCCACATGAGTCACAATCAAAACCTGGGTGAATGAAGGTTTCTAACGGCGGCCGCGGGATTTTAATCAACTGTCATACCAGAACTCATTGTTGCCTGCTTTGCTATTTGCACTACTACACCACACTTCCTTCACATGCGGTTCTTGCTTCCGTTTGACCAAACAATACTGGATCACAACGCACATGTGCCCAGTTATCTATGTCATGTATCGAGCAGTCAGCTACAAGGATCGAATCTTGCATTCAGTGCCGAGCCTGCATTCAGCTTTGTCTGAGACCTACGCACGAAGGCCAGTAGACACAGAGAATGAATTCGTCCGTTTGGCGGTGCCGGCATGAGAATCTCTTTGGACATGTTGCTTTGGTTGTTCTATTGCACACCCTTTGAAGGATCCAAGTAGATTCTAGTTAGATACTCGTCTTGCACCAAGGGATCAGCAGGACAGCCCACGAGATTGATACAATTTGTGCCTTGGCCACACTTCAGGATGATCCCGCCCATCGAGGGCGACGGACGGCGCTTGCTCACCAGGCTGCGATGTGTTCAATCATGTGGTGGTGATGCCTGCACGGGCTTGTTGCAACGCCTTTTCAAACCATCAACCCTTCCGCCTGAAAGGAAGACCACAAGGAGGTTGATCAAGCAATAGTGGCTTATGTTTGTTTGAGAAAGGTTGGCCCAGCCTTGATGCTTACGACGTAGGTGAACTTTGCGAAACGAAGCCGCAAGGTGATGTTCCAGCATCAACCAAAACAACAGATCGGAACGTAGGTGAGGGGTCATTTGGTATGAGAGTGAATTCAACCAACGTGGTGTCAGTGTCGTTCTAGTCAATCTCCGGTGGTATTCATGTTGGTACCAGAGCACCTAGGTACCTGGCTCGGTTTGGAGTGGGGCACTTCAGCAATTTGAGATATGTTGAAATCACCAAGTGCTGGGTTTCAGTTCGCCACATCACACCTTCTGGTTTCCAACCTGCCGGTGTCGAAGACCTCAATGTTTGGACTGTCCGGCTGGTTTCCAACCTCCAATGGGTATGGCAATGTCCAAAACTGGTGTGACATGGTCTTTGTTCTAAACCTGGCACGAATTCATTCGATGTAAGGAACTAAATGACTAAGCACATCACCGTCCCATGATCGTAACTTAATTTGGTGTAATCGTCCCCAGCCACCCCATGCTATTCTTTCAGGATCCCAGTCACAACTTGTTGCACATTTAGATGCTGAGGCCTGTGTACTGCAATCGTGTTCCAGAACGTGTCCCGGAGTTCTATAAGATGTGAGACCTGATGTTTCCTGTTTGTCAATGTGTCTTCAGGTTTTTTCTTTGGAACTTGGCGAGGTGCCAAGTTCCGGGCCATTTCGCTCGCTCTTAGCCCGCGAGTTTTTGGGGATTTGCTTCAAGATCAGCATGTTGGTTGGTTTAGTTTAGACACTGGTTAGGGGGGTATACTGGTTTGAGGGCAGTACAAAGCCCTTTTCGGCAATTCGGATGTGCGAGGCTTCAAATGAAAGACATGGGCTGTGAGTGACAGAAACAGAAATGGGCTGTGACCAGATCAGACGGGTTTATCAGAGATTTGCCCGAATGGAACAGTGACATGCACACTTCTAGGGCAAACCATATCTGCTGTGGTTGGGAGGGCATAAGTTATGACTTTAGTCAGAGGGGCGAGCTTCTTTAATCTTGGCTTGCCAGCTATCTCCTGTAGCCTCTTTGCCCGAGTCCCTCCTGTTCATTAACATGGAACCCACCTAAGGGTCCCTTTTAAAGGAGAATCATCTTCCAGGACCCCTCAGTCAGGCTCCATGTTAATGGACAGGAGGGTAACTCCCGCCAAAGTGAAAGGCAAATGCCTCAAGAGATTCCCCTGCTGTTTACCCTGGGGGTGCGTCAGGTTTCTCGATCCTGTCGCGACTCGCGAGGCTTCTGGAGTTTAGCTCTGCGTGCGCCCAGGCGTGCGGTCCGAACCGGGGCGGAGCGAGCGAATCTCGGGTATGTCGGTCTTGCTCCTCAAAGTAGCCAAAACAGCAGCAACGTCAGCAGAAATCCCAGGGTAGAGCATTGGCATGTGGGTTCCTTTGTTTTGCTCTTTCAGGTACCGTTTCTTGAAACTATCCAAAAGGACCGTGCTACAGTGGATGGACGAAATCCTGCACCACTTTGAAACCATGGGAAACCATTGTTTGTTGGTATTTGCAGGGGAATCATCATTCCAGGGTTTCTTGGGTGGAGCAAAATGGATTTCATCCATCCACAGTATATAAGACTCCCTTTAAGTCATTTTGGGGCTTCCCTGCCATTTTGTTGAGCACCTGCATGCTTTTAGCGGTGATGTTGCCAGGTTTCTTAGACATGATTGGAACCACGCGCCTTTGCGAAAGAATTCATCCACAAGTAGCACGACCATTCTATATGTGTTGACTTTAGCATGTTTCCAAAAAAAGAAGGATCAACTTGATATTCGTAGTTGGTTCTCTTCGAGTATCTTCCAATGATCTGATCGACTTCACCAGGGCGCATTCTCCAAGCGGCGCTGTTCGCGAGGTTCCGCCGGGCCGAAAGCAGAAAGTGGGGGACATGCTCATCCAGCGGATAGTGTCACAGGACTGGCGCTCGTGATTTTGCAAGCGTGGACCACCTGATAGCTTGATTGTTTCCAACGAGGTTGAAGTTGACAGGATCCCTCAGGTTCAACCCTCATGAAAAGACTGGTTGACCCAATTTGGATGATGAACATCCCTAGGCAAGCAACTGCGGAAGTATTAACCCCCATTGTTTTAATGGTGCCCAGGGCCATGGCTTTGGGAGATCAGGGATCCTGCCTCGCAGCTCCGGCACAAGACCCTAAATGCAGCTCAGCAATATGCGCATGGATCAAAATGAATGGAAAGGACCGCAGGTTTTAGTCCTTGGTTCCATCTACACGGGTTCCATTTGGGTACCTATTTTTGACCCACAGCCAGATGGAACATGATGTGGGAGAGCATGAAGAAACCCATTTTTATGACCGGCTTCCGAGTATCGCCCTGGATCTTTGGACCAAAAAAACCCGCAAGGCGCAACCCCACATCCCCATTACTTGCCATAAACCACTTCAAGGGCTTGTAGTACCAAAGGGTCAAAATGGCTGGCTTAGTTCCACGGTTGCCACCCAAAATGTTAAGCTTGTCCCTCCGAAAGCACCCAGTTTCATTCGAGGCCACGCAAAAGGATGACTCCGTTTTGTGTTGCAAATATATTCCCAGGGGTGCCCAGCAAGCTCTACCTCTGTTTCCGTTGCCAGTGGGGTGGAGACCCTCATCACACCGGGCTCCTAGGACACACAGTTTGGCCATAAGTTTGACCTGTTCAACCCGACCCAAGAAGCCAGTATTTTGGGGTAAGATTCAGGCAAATACAAGAACCCCTGAAGGAAACACCAATCCAGGTTTGAGGTGCATCGTACAGGTACGGTGCAAATGTGTTGTTTTCAGCTGGGGATGCCTGTAGGTTGTTTGAAACTTTGGTCGCAAGACACAAGTGGGGGCCTTGCGTTTGGGTCAACATGTTCCGCTGCACTGCAGCAAAGGACAGCGCCGCAATCATCTACGTGATGGAATCTCGTAACTCCGCCCCAAAGTCACGAACGCCCAGAGGATAAGGGTCCCAAAAAATTGAGGCGTAGAGATCATTCCCTTCCGGTCAGGCGAGGCTTTTTGATGTGCATATTCCCTTCACCAAATGCAAGCACACGCACGCATTTTGCTGTTGCGCATGGCTCGGTTTGGCCTACTGCTGGTGTCGCAGCTACCAGCTTAGCGCAAGGCACTAAGTTGCCTTAGCGTCTTTGTATATCTTTGCTCTTCCTGTAACTTTCCTCGCACAACTCTTGCTTTTCCATCTAAGGACACCTTCTCGAAAGGATTTTGTCTACGAAGGGAACGTCTTGGAACCACCAGGTGGTACGTGGCTACCCCCCAGTGTGTGTGCACTGGGGAGGTGCGGGTTTGGGTTCCAGGCAAGAAGCATGCGACTCCCACACAAGCCGAGGCGACTGTCTGATTTTCCATGTCCTCTACGGCAACCACACATTGTTGAACGCAAAAGCCCTTTCCCCTAAGGTTTCACCTTTTATTTTTCCGGCTCCCCAGTATTTGGGGACAACCCTATAAATTATTTGATGTTTTGTTTATTTGTGTATTTAGTTTGTATTTATGTATTGTTTTGTTTGTTTGTTTGTTTGTTTGTTTGTCTGTTTGTTTGTTTGTTTGTTTTTTTGTTTTGTTTTGTTTGGTTGTTTGGTTTTGTTTGGTTTGGTTTGGTTTGGTTTTGGTTTTGTTTGGTTTTGTTTGGTTTTGGTTGGTTTTGTTTGGTTTTGTTTGGTCTTGTTTGGTTTTGTTTGGTCTTGTTTGGTTTTGTTTGGTTTTGTTTGGTTTTGTTTGTTGTTTTTGGGTTGTTTGTTTGTGTGTTTGTTTGTTTGTTTGTTTGTTTGTTTGTTTGTTTGTTTGTTTGTTTGTTTGTTTGTGTGTGTAATTACGTATATCTTTGCATATGAAGGTGCAGGGCAACCTATTTCAATCGGCAACCTTCCAACATTTGGGCGGACAAGAGTCTATAAATCACATCCACCATCGGGTCCCCAACTAAGATAAACAATATAGTTGATTGCCCTTGTTTCACCAAAAAAACAGCCCCCCTTATGTTTTCTTCCTCCCCGAGCTCCTGGACTTTATCCTTCTTGAGAAGACCATGGGAACTTCCGTGCAACTGGAAGTCGTTGAGCTGTGTTTACGTTTTTCAGCTAGCGCAACCATCAAAAGGTGAACCCTTACGGACTTTCGGTGGGTCGACTCTAACAACTCATTGTTGTCTATGTTTGTCACTTGCTGGGCTGTAGAGAGGGAGTGAGAGAAAGACAACGAGAAAGAGCAAGAAGAAGAAGAATCGAAGTAAGAAAGACAAATAAGCAAGAAAAGAAGAGAGGAAGAAGAAGAGAAAGAGGAACATACAGAGGAAGAGGAAGCGGCGGAGAGAGAGAGAGAGAGAGAAGCAGAGAGAAAATGAAAGTAGAAGGAGAAAAGAGACAACCGAGCAGTCAAAGAGAAATAATAAAGACAAATGAGGAATAACACAAAGAACGGAAAGAAAAGGAGACACAACAGGGACAGATAAAAAGAAGGAGAGGATGCAGAGAAAGGAGAAGGGGCAGAAAAAGAGTAGCACAAAGAGGAATATGAAGAGGAACAGGAAGGGGCAGAGAGAGACAGAGAGGCGCAAAGAACATGAAACAGAAAGAGAAACAGAAGGAGAAAGAGAAGGAGGAAGACGAAGATAAGGATGAAGAGAACGATTAGAAAAAGAGAAGGGTAAAGAAAAAGAGAAACAGGAAGAGACATTGGAAGAGGACTGGAGAGAGGCACGGAGAGAGAAAGACAAATAATTAGCAAGAGGAAAGAACAGCGAAAGAAAGACAGATAGAAATGAGAGAGGGTGAGAGAAAGGGGCGAAGAAGGCATGCTCCACACTTTTGGTTCTTACATGTTGGACTCTTCCGCCCCTGGGCTCCGCCAACTTCATTGGTGGTAAACAAGTGTGGCCAATCCTCTGAGAGACCGACCCATGGGCCGCCACGGCCATGCCCGCGTTTGCCTCGGAATAGGAGAACCGGGCGGTGTGGTCCGCCTCCGTGGGCAGCGACCCGGTGATGTTCGTGGCCTCGGAGGCGGTCAACGGGCCTTTGCGTCCATTCGGTTGACGCCTAGGTGTGTGCGTTGGTTGACCATTTTCACCCAGCTGAGTGGTGCCCTTTCTCCACTTTTTGTGGGACAGAATCCCCTTTGAAGTCAGCCAACCAAAAAAAAGATGCCCTTTTCTGCCCATGGCCACTGGGCATCATCTTGGCTTTACAGGGACAGCTGCCCATTGTTGGGATCATACCAACGTTGGGGTGGTCAACGTCTGGCAGACCATTTGGGAGGGCATTCCCCATAAAATCGTGGCGTCATTGGGGGCCTCCGCCAAGAAGGCCCCCCCTCCCCTTCTCTTGAAGGGAAACCAGAGGACAACCTCCTCGTTTGGAGGGGGGTCCTGAATTGGGATGAATCAAGTAGGGGAACCAGATCGCCGCACCTGCGAGCTCTCAGGCTCCCGGAATGTTGACGTTCGCTTGCCACCCCACCTAGGTCAAGACACACAGCTAACTTTCTGGGCTAAGCAATCGGCTCTGGCCATTCAGACCCTCCAAAACCTTCTGGTTTGCACATCTCCTCAAACCAGCAGGTCGCCATGCACGCCTATGCGATGGCCTTGTCAAACCCTTTAAACGGGCTGGGAGGGAGGCACGGTCGAAGCCGTGAATATTGCAAAAGCAAACCACAAAAACATAGACTCTGGAGCCACCATGTGTGTTGCTCAGCTACCAAAGGCCTGATGGCCTGGAAGGTGATCATCTCCACCTCGGAGCCCTTGGAAGCTGTGCTGTGGGCCATCTACTCTGCAGAGGACTGAGCGAAGCGGCGCGGAAGGCACGCCTAACACGAGTTCACCCGGGGATAAGAACGAGCTCACCATGACGTACGTCTTTTGTTTTACTTGGGGATCCCTTTGTTCAACTTGCTGATTCAATGTTGCCCCGTGTCCATAGTTGCAAAGTATTTGTGTGGTTGACACAGGGGTAGAGAGGAATGTAATGCTTAGTGTAAGTGTTGGATCATTCGCTCTCCCGTCGCCAAGGGCCCTGAGTGTCTTCCCTCTTGCATGGTCAGGCCATGGGCCAAATCCTGGCCAAATGCAACAAGACTCTCTTGCTGGAGCTGCTGGTTTTGGTCGCTGCAAGTTATTCGTGACACGAAAAGAGCACCGTAGCATCACAATTCATCGCTCCAAGTACGGCCCAAGCCGGGCAGGAAGTTGGTTGCGGTATTTCTGCAGTCAAAGCACATCATGGATGTTTTGGCTTCCAGGCATTCCACACCCTCTGATTGCCCCATCGCTTAGCTGAGAACCGCGGTGGCTGCAGCTCTTCAATGATATGGTCGGCCTGATATGTTTGGCTCCTGCCGTACAAATAATGCTACTCCGCTGCGAATTTTCGTGGAACCCCAACAGTCGGTTGCTGGATAATTATGCGCGGTTCCTGTTCCAATGATGGTTTTTGGTTCGTGAAGATTTGTAGGGGGAGAGAGTTCCGTCTAAATTCGGCCTTTCGAGGCTGTGTCCTTCAAATCTCTCAGGAGCGCATGCAATGGGACGGCGCTGCCTTCGCAGCCTACAAGGTTTGGTTGTTTCCTGTGCCTCGATCTGGGTGCCTCGAAACATAGGGACCCCCCCAAATGCGGTGTTGCCTGTGTTTTTCTTCTTTTTTCTTGACATACCAGAGAGGGTACTCTCACAACATGACACACCCAAAGCAACAGACAATATTGCCAGGGTAGAGGTTGTGGGTGGGCCGATCCCTACCGGATTTGGATGATCCCATATATCAGTTTCTGGTGGTACTCGCAACATTGCGGGCATTCATTTTGTATATAAGAAGTGATGTAGGGGGTCTATATCTAACATAGCAGCCGACACATTGATTGGTAGTTGTGAGATTTCGGATACACCACCTTTCCCATTAGAAACTGGCCTGCCAAATGTTTCGATGTCCTTCTTTGGTCGCGAAGAGATATGGGAAGAAGATCTGATGTGGTCATGGACCGCAGAATGCGCAAAAGATTTCGCAAGCTCACCGAACACTTCTGAGGCACCAATCGCCAGATTCCAGTAGACTTAGGATTAGTGTTACATGTTATTGGCAGCCAAATGGAAAGCAAATAGGATGTACTTGTTGTGACTCCTTCTGATTCAATATTGACTTTCATGTTCCATGTTGGCTTCCCGTGTACTTTGTTGTCAAGGTCTCCAGGTTCCAGGCAAGTAAATGGGGGATTGCGCAAACATGGCTCGACCCCTTTGTCAGTTAAAGGAAACACATCAGGAAACCAACCAGTTTCGGGGAACGACTTGACGCTGCCAGGTCCTTGGGCAGCAGGCCGGAGCTAGCTGCGCATGCATGACATCAAAACTGGGCACCCAAATGGTGAGTGCTGTTTCTTGTGTAGGTCCCCCACCCCAGTAGTGCCCTTTTACCCATGTTTGGGGGAGGGTTCCCCTACCAAAATAGACTACATAAGAAAGGGTGCCCTTATTCTGTCCTCTCGACTGGAGGACCTAGTTGTCCTTGTGAAGCGGTCCCGGAGGGGGCACCTAGTTTTGACAAAGAGCTTCTGGGCCGCAAGGGCTGCAAGCATCAACTGCCTCGACAACTCGCGCCATTTAATTTTGATTGATTGATTCCTGGTGGCAAGGTCATGCTGGAGAGAAGCAAGAAGCTCACATCTTGTTTGGTTTATCTTTAGCAATGACTTGCAGAACCAACGTTCAAACCTTGAAACTGTGATTCGTTCATTTGGAACCAACACAAGAGTTCGAGCTTTTGAAACCCAGGGATGTCCACCAGCAGCAGGGCATGAGCACATATTTTACTAGCTGCATGAGTTCTCAGCTGATTTCAGCCGGCTGAAAGGTTGGGGAGCGCTGGACTGGAGCATCATGAGTGTGGTGTCACGCATAGTTCCCATTATTGGGTGCTTCCCTATCGCTTGAGTTTCCTCCTGAAGCAAGGGATGTCTCTTTATAGTAGGCAATAAGGCAATGAGCCTTTGCAACCCCCAATGGGTGTTTAGGAACTGGTTGGTCTCCACTCAATCTCCCTGTCCCCGAGAACCAAAGAAGAGGCCAGCAACCGAAACTGAACCAACTGGGTGAATTAAAACGACCTCACACGGCCTCACCCCAAATGGTGGTTTATGTGGGGAATAGCCCCCCAACCATCTTATTTATTTCAGGTTGGTGAAAATTATAAATCACTCAGACCCAAGCAGATCCTTTCCCTTCCCCATCAGACCTCAGGTCCAGGCGTCCAGCGAGAGCCTCTGCGACTTCCTCTACTGCCGGGTTCCGCTGGTGCCAGGCAGACCGGGCGATGGAGCCTATCGGCACGCGCGGCGCGGGCAACGAACCGGCCTGGTCGAAGTCAAGAATCAATGAAGAGCCCAGCAGCTGTTTGACCCTTGATACCCAGGTTTGGTTCATGCCATTTGGTTCATAGTGCTCTTTGATTCAAAGTCCTTGCTTGCCGCCAACGGAAGTAAGTGCGCCTGGCTGGGACGCAATGGTCTTTCTACGCCAGGTGTCAAGGATCGCGACATGGTGCAGGTGCCGAGAGGGCGCACGGATTCGGGTCTTTTTGTCTCCCCACATGTGAGAGTGTGTGTGGGCTTGTGTGCGTGAGCGCTTGTCTGTGTGTGTGCGTGTCTTTTGTGGTATGTTTTTGGGTCGTTTCAAAGGGCAGCCAAAAGGAAGCCAATAATTGGGGGGCGTCCGCGACGTTATGAAGTACTTTCTCGCAGGGATTGCCAGACCGCTGGTTTTTTCAAGGGGTGTGAAGGCACTACTTCCGCTCAGTGGGAGCTCTGCCCCTGTCGAGTTGGTCGTTTCCGACCACTCCGAAAAAGGGGCGGGGTGCAAGCTGTGAATTGACCTCTTCAGGATCCTTGAAGCAGGGACTCTCTTTCTTAGGCAACTCGACTCCTTTGTCAAACTGCTCCGAAAAGTGCATGTTTGGTTTCGGGGCCCCATTGTTGCAGTTCTACATTCGCTGTAGATGATCTGACAGACTCACGGCGACAGCACCTGTGCCACTGAACGATGCTCCGTTTTGAGCTGGACTTCGCAGCACTGCTGACGCTCTTCGATTGCTGCTGATTAGAAATCCCCGTCCCTCAGGGGGATGGCCTTGAAGGGGGTGTGGCACCCCTGGTTTTTGTCTAAACAAACTGTAGCAACCAAATTGCTGTTTCTAGACAGCTGATGCTTTGGAGATCTCTTAGAGCAATCCGTGGAACTTTGAAAGAAGGTCGTCGTATTGCCAGCTCGGGCCCCGCGAAAGAAAACGTCCGGCACTTTTCAGGTGACCAGCTATGGTTTGTCCCCGCGTTTTGTTTATTCAAAGTGCTGCGTCGGCGTTGGCGACATGCTGGGACCTCTTCGAAGGCGGCACAAAAGGCCCGCCACATGCATTTTAGCTTCCGTCAGGAGCGCTTCCTGCTGAAGCTGCCCTCAAATGCAGGCAGGAAGCTGTTCCAAAGGGATGCTGTCGGTTCTTCCGAACGGATGGGTGTCAGAGTCATGGTGTTTTCCTCTTCACCCACTGGCCGCACACTTGCTCCAAAGCCTGTTTTTGGAGCGCTGGATGTTTTGCCCTTTCTAAACAGAATTCGACAGACGGATAGTCCTCAAAAAGCAGAGTCGGGTTTCATTTTGGCGCAGAAGCTAGTGGGGGTTTGTTCCTCGAACTGCTGCCAGTTTCCCCTTTTGAAAGACCATGGTAGCGGTGGCCTAAAATCCCACCCCCTTTGCATCCCCAAAAAGGGCCCCTATTTTTCATAGAGGCCAACAGTGCCTACTAGTGAAGGTCTCCCCAGGGAGATTCCGCCCTTGAGCAGCCAACTTGAAGTCAGATGAAATGAACTGCTCAGTCTGGAACTCTCAAGACGGTTGTGGTAAGTTCAGACATCAAGTAGGCACAATGTTCCATTTGGCTTATTGGGGTGACGTATGGACCCGAGATCCGTTTTCCTTTTTTTTGTTTTTCTCCGGAAGGTTACGCCATCGCCATTCAGTCCTGCAGCCCTGGTCAGTGTTCGGCTTTAAGGCAGGAGCCTTAGGGCTGGAGGCACCCTCCTCGTTGGTCCAGCGCGGCGCGGTCTTCGTTCGCGGAAGGCAGAGATCACCTTGGCCCAAAGAGGCATTTGGAGGATGGGGCGCAAAACTACCATTTGTTTCAAAGAGACGACCTGGTCCAGGGAAGAAACACTGGGACGTTTTGGTTGTTTTGGCAAGCCATGGCAAACATTTGCCAGTAGAAGGAAACTGGCAAATGCATGCAAATGCCACGTTTTCGGGGCAATTGCGCTCTCAGGCAAGTCCCGGAAAGTGAGACGAATTGGAAATTTGAATGGCGCCCTTTGGTGGACATCAGCTACTTGGGAGTCTCATGTCCTTCATTTTGTGAGGATGTCCGGCACTAAATGTCAGGGCCATACGCAGACCAATCCTGCACCCTTCTCCGCATGCTGATGCAAACGTGAACGCCCTTTGCCAAATTCTGGCAGATGGCTTTGTGGAAGCATGCCGCATAAACCCTGAGGATTGGGTAGAGCCGTTGTGTTGATGCAAGCAAAGATGTGTGAGTGCAGTTTCTGAGTGGGGGATTGTGTGTTTGCAGATTCATACTCAAAATCTCAAGGAAAAATGGGCCTCACAAAGGCCACAAATTGGGATGCTCCGGTTCAGCCAAAGGAGAAAGGTGGTACACTAGTTCAGAGTTTCGAGGGGCGTCAGACGCGCCGCAGAAGGTTCGCCACCGACTCAGGGGCTAAGACTGGGTCATTTGAGGCCCAATAGCGATAGGATCTTGTGTGCCTTTTGTGGGATCCAATTGCCCCAGCCCCCAACCCCAAGGCTCCCCCCCATTGGATGAGGCTGGACCCCGTGCCCAGCGTGGTGCGCGCTCGCACCATCCTGTCTGGGTGAGCCGCCAGTTGGATGGAACAAATGCGAAATGGGTTGGCGCACACGACATGTTGGCTACCCCCAAAATGGCTTCGGTGTTCCTTTGCTCTTCCCAAAGCCACCAAAAAGGGGTACCCTCAAAAAAGACGCCCACATACTACCTACCCCCCCCTTCCCAAAACCTTGTGGCGAAATTTGCCTGTAAAGTTCAAAGTTGAAGCTGAAGCTCAACAGCAGCCAGGTCAGATCTTTGCAACAACAATTATAGAAGCCAACAGACCGGTTTATTGGAAGGTACAGTCTTGAAAAGCCCCCTGTCTATGATGATTAGATTCCAGTCCAAATCCTGGCTCCCCCCAATCAACCATTCTTTCGGACGGGGATTTATTAAAAACACGCATTGGACAAATGGAAAGTTGGCCAACCAGAGATAAAGTAAAAGAGCTTACGTACTCATCTACACCTGCAAAAAGAAGGTAGGTTCAAATTGCAGAGGTCGGGACCCCGCCCCTCCCAATCCACCATTCTTTCGACCAACCCAACTGAGCTGTTTTGTGGTCTTAGGAGCAACCCTGGGGCGAAGTCAGTAATTGAATGCAGCAGGTCGGGGCTGTTCAACTGAAATGTGTGTGTGTGTGTGTGTGTGTGTGTGTGTGTGTGTGTGTATGCGTGTGTGTATAATGTGTGTGTGTGTTGAGTTGTGTATTGAGCCGAGGTTTCATCAACCAGATTCGTCGCTAACCTCACGTGTTGCCTTCCCAATACCTAGTGCACTGCTGTTTCAAGGCAATTCTTAATATTGTCCTTGGTTCACGCAAGGATTGGCTTTGTACTGGAGTCCAGCGAGGATCAAGGATTAGGATGGGCCAAGCCGTCTTTTTGCCAATCAACAGGTTTGCTGGGCACATGTCGAGTGTGTCTCCTTTAAGTGGGATGACGGATTTAGCAGAACATTTGCATACATTTGTCAACCCTGATCAGTAGACTCACACGCTACCTAGACCTCCAGAGTTCCCTGACGACCTGCCTGACCTCTCCTTCCCTTCCCTTCCCTTCCCTGTCAATGTCATATCTTTCCATTGTTTGCTATCCTTTCCTTTGTTTTATCTTTCTTGCATAGGTTTTCCTATCCTTTCATATTATTTCCTACTTTCCAACTGACGCTTGCTCTTTTCCATCTCTTCAATCTGTTCTTCTTTTGCTGACATCCTCCGAGCATGTCCTGCGTCACTCGGCGTAAAGACCGCAGGTACATTCTGCGGCCGAACCCCGGAGGAGGCTGGGCATGCATCCCTTACCTGAAGTGGTGAATTTTAAGCAGTGGTGAAATCGTTTCAACCAATGTGTTTGGGGCATTGCGAAGATTAGCGACAACTTGCTGTTATACATGTTTGTTAATTTCGTGGTGTTTCAAGCGTGCGGGATCTAATGTAGTCTCAGTATGTCTTCATCATTTGCTGCTTGCGATTTTGCTTTTTGTCGTGAGCTCTCCCTTGGGTTTCGCCGCCTTTGCGCCGAGAGTACAACGTCCCTGACACCCCCCTGGCCCACTTTTGTCCCACCCATTTCGTGGGCCCGCGCTTGGCCTTGTTTTGGTTAGTTGTGTTCCTACTGGTTGTTCGTTTTGTACTCGCCCAGGCATTTCGCCGCCATGTTTGCTGCGCATGCTGCGATTTTTTTAGCCAGCTTTGGACTGTTTGGCTCACTTCCTGAGATTCTGGACTTCATAATCTTCACACTTTTTGGTACGACCAGTTTAGTGGTAAGCTAAAATAATGGACCTTTCTTGGCCGAGCCACGCAGCCGAGTTTTCGGTTTCTTCGTTTCGGGTCAGAAACCCCGAGGCGTGGTGCTCACCGGGGTCTCGCAGACGGACCTCGGGGGCTACGTGCCGCAGTGGGTGCAGGGCCTGGTGAAGAAGGCAGGGGCTGGGGGGGCGGCTACCGGGAAGGCACCCGCAAAGAGCAATAGGCTGACAGGGTTTCTCAGGTTTTCGAAGTCCGGTCAATATTTTGCACATGGGTTTTTCCTGGTGAATGATGCACGGGTTTATATTGGTTTCCCCACAAACAATGATGGACTCCTCATTGAAGCGGTGTTTTGAGCGGCACGCACAACTGAGACGCACAATGGCGGAAGGGAGCGTCAACTGAAATTGAAGGATCCTCTTTACATGTCACCTAAATCCGAGCTTCAGTTGACTTGCTGACTTGGCTCCTGAATGCATTTGCATGGGGCAGCTCGCATGCGCATTTGGTCTCGTTTGCGTGCAATGATTTTAAGCTATCACCAAAGCTCTTGACCCGGTTGAATGAATGTGGATATGTGCCTGCTCATAATACACCCAGTTCCTCCCTATGAGCTAGATGAAAGCAGATCCTTCACCATTCCGCAAGTGCTCATTTCATGTGCTGAGTACGTCGTCCTTGTTCTAGATGTGTGTATCTCAAAATGCGGACCCTAGGATTGCTGTCGGAAGGTCTCTGAATCGACTGAAAGAGGTACTTCTTATGTCGAGCAAGCACTGACGCCAGGCGGGCAAGCGGATGCCCGTGCAGTGGGCACAGAGATTGGAGGACCCTGGGCATTTGGTCTGGGTGAAAAGGACCTCACACGACCGAGTTCACCCCAAAAGGTGGTGTTTATGTGAAAATAGCCCCCCAACCACCTTATTTCAGGTTGGTGAAATACAAAAGTACGGGCCACTTGTTAGGACCTCATTGATACGTTGGACAACTGTGTAAAGGTTGCAACCCAACGGGCAGCAACCAAGTGCCTTCAAAAGGGACACCTGGATGATGAGAACGCCGACCCGAGCGCCAAGCACTCTGTTTGAGTGTCTGACTCGTTGAGTTGAACGTGCGCATAAACACAGGGTAGTTCTTGCGATTAAATTACAGGCGGATCCGGGTAGTCGATTGTGTCCCCTGTCTTTGTGCTGTTGTGTGTGGTCGGCTAAGTGGAGCTTTTGGGACACTGAAACCCCTTTTGGTTGGTGCTCTTTGGGAATCTTTCAGGGGCAGCGCTTCTCCTTTCTGTCTTACGGGTCCTCCACTAGAGCTGGTCAACTCCGAAACGGGTTCCCTTATCTAGCAGGCTCACAGGGCAACAGGGACACACTCTTTCACTTGTCACGTCCAGGACTACTGCAACAGCAAGGCGAGTGCCGGTCCCGGCCCTAGCCTCACAGGGGGAGTGCCGAAAGCACTTCAGTGGCATGCTTGGTTTGGGTTCCTGAAAGGAAACCTTTCGGCCAGTTGAACAACCACCTTTAGCAGCTGATTTAGAAGATCCACTTGTAAATCAATCAGTTTGCCTATCCCAGCACTCCAATATTTGTTTGGATGCGCTGAAAGTAGCTGGTTGCGCTGGGTTTGCTTGAGGCAACAAGGACAGATGGCACTTTACAGACACACCCATGGGGTTGCTGGCAGGAATGATTTCCAGGCAAGCGGTAAGCGGCTCGAGCCTAGCCCCTGACGCGAACCACTGGATTTTTGGCAGATTGGCTTGTTGGACCTGACGCGTAGGCTGGTTGAGGTTTGGACAAGTGCGTATGGTCTTAAGTTTCTAGCACAGGCTATGGTGAAGTGCTTGAATTGCGGACGAATGCATCACTTATTCTAGCAGTTTGGGATGTTGCGTGTGGCGCTGTGTTCATCCTTCTACTTTTTTTTCATAATTATTCACTTGGTCCAACCTTGAGCAACAAGCGTGCTGCTTCACTTACTTGTTGTTTTGGCTTTGAGAGATTAGCGTCTATCTGCCAATGCAAACAGTGCGCATGTTTTGCCTTGTTGCCTCCAAGTTGCCCGAGGCACAAGATGACAGGCGCGTGGGCGGATGCTGTAGGTGAGCCCACAGGAAATCCTGCTTTGGGGTTCCCCTAGTTGGAGAACAAACATAATTGATGCTGCACATTGGGCAGGCCTCCGAAGGCAGGTCTTGCCCCGAGATTGTTTGCAAAACTTGCAAGATGATGATGAAGGTCTAGAATGACTGCTTTCGAGATAGGCAGCCTTCGTTTTTTCTCAATAATATGATGCTTTTATTCATGGGGTCCAGTGTTGCCCAGTCTCAAGTGTTCCAGCATCCAGTGTTCCAGTGTCGCCAACCCAGTTGCCCGTTGAGTATTCCAATGATGATCACCTTTGCGTAACCAGCGCCTTGTGCTGCTTTCAACATCGGTGTTCGGAAGCTCCGTCTTTCGCCGGCATCATATCGGACGAGTATCCAGGAATGCTCCGCATGGAATGTGGCTTCCCAAGCAAAAGTGTGTGGACCGTTTGATGGCTTTGATCTCAATTACAAGCTCACGTCCAAGCCGACCAACTTATTGGTTTGTTAATGCTTACCCATATTAAGTCATGACATCAAAGGCGATCATTTGTTTGTTGGGTGCTTTGAGCATATTTCATATTTCATGGGGTAACAGCATAAGTGTCGACTGTGAGCTGAGAAGGCCTTGCACAGGAGTTTTTCCAGCCCGCACCTCTACTCTTCTGGTAGTTCTCTTTCGCGCAAGTCATTTGGAACCAGCAGATTTCTGCATGTGTTTGGGCCAGGTCAGTTCAAGCCATGCCAGGATAACTTGAGCCGCACAAATTACTTCTTCCGGAATAGCACGGCTAAACCCAGGATCACCACTCTGTTTTGCAGTGACAGTTGATTGAAAGTTGGCCTGATATCGGTGCTTGAAGGGTGTGGAATTAAAACCAATGGACTGCCTTGGCCCTTCGGACAATGCCAAACGGAAGCTTTGCAACAAGCCCCGTGGTGTTGGGTAGCTTCCCTCGGCCAAGCTTTGAACCGATCCCTGCAGGTACCCATCGCTTCGCACGAAAAAGCGGGCGCCTGCAATTTGTTTCCCGAGTGTGGCGGGCACGGCATTGGTGTATGTGCCCTTTACAACTTTGCATTGAACAACATTGCGTGTGTTCAACACAGCCAGCCCGAAAAGAACACAACAGCTGATGGACCTCCTTCTGGTTCAGGCTTCCCCTTTAAGCATCCAAAGTGGGTCCGCAAGCTCAGGACATTCCCCCCTACTTGATCCAACAAAGACACGGGGAGACTTAGATGGCGACTTGTCCCTTGCGAGGCAAATCAAAGTTGGCCTTCTGGGTTGTTTGTGTGATGCAACATAATTGCAAGTGGCACAACTTGGCTTCCATTTGGCTCCAGCATTTCCTAAGCTGTCTACTATCTTCTGGTGAGCCGACGCGCAAGTTGCCTGGCAAGAGCCTTCGTCGCCTGTTTGCTGGCATTTTGATCTTAGCCTCCGAGAGAGACACAGAGAGGCGGCCAGGACCAAAGGGCAAGCCTTCAAGCCTTCAGCTTTGGGGAACAGATTCAGACGGGAAACTTTCTGATGGCCAGTGAAGGACAACAGCTGGAATGTGGCTTCTTGGGGGGTGTTCAGCCTTTGAGTTCGACCTGTGAAAGTGGGCCGAGGATCAGAATATGGCGGCGCCATTTCTGGAAGAGCCGTTGTACTCCTTCTGGAAGAACCAGGGGGCTGGTGAGGACCCAGACTCGGAATTTGGGGGATTTGAGAGCGCTCACATTGTCGGGTCAGGAGTATCATGCAAATATGCAGGATAGTCATTGTTATTTGCACTTGATTTTCGGCGGATTCAGGGGCTCCACGGAAAGGGCGGAGTGCCAGGCAAATGTGACTGCGAGCCCGCAGTGATTCGATTGGAATCAGCCCGGGTGAGTTTGTGAAAGTTTGCCCAAAGGCAATACCAGCAAGGGAGCAAGCAAACCAAACAACATGGAGGGAATGAACACCATGTCAGAATCGAAGATGCTGATCGTGGTATGCAATTTCAGGTATCTCCTAAATGATCCACCGAGGAATGCCTTGTTGACTTCTAGCCTACTTCGTCACTTTGCCTCTGGAAAGTCATGAGAAACTTAGATGCATGAAACACTGCTTCATGTTCATGGACGTGCGCCCTGTGCTATGCACTTGTGCAGCGGATTCCTTCTTTCAGGTTGTGAATCAGCAATTTTCCTGAGTAGCATGGCCACACATACGCAATATCATATACATATCACCCACCTCAAACGTTTCACATTCTCTGCATCCCTTCCGACATATTTGCAGTAGAAGCGCAAGACGTCAGGACACAGCCGAGACGCCAGGCATGCGCATGGATATCGAGCCGCTCGGCAAGCGGCAACCGGCAAAGCGTTTCCCCGCGCCCGAACTTCAAAGATACGGCAGAGCTGGCGAATGGGGGCTAAATACTTTGATAGTAATGATTTGTAGCTACCTCCCATAATCATGACTACTGTTGGTTTCGAGGACAGCCACATTCGAATTTTGGAGGCCCTTGTAAAGTTTGGATCAAAGTACCCCACAGCCCCATTCTAATTGATGAGGTCTTTATAGTATGAACTTGCACTGGGAATCTTTGGAACATTGCCAGACTTAGCTGAGTTGCCTTGACGTTTGCCCCAGTTGTTGTTTGTTCTCATCTCTTTCGACCAGCAATAGCTTAACTCCCCGCGCAGGTGTCCAAGCCTGGCCCCATGGCTGATGGACTCCGGACATTCCAATCAACGCACGTGATTGCCCATTGACTCTGGCTCTGGCACGCATGTTTGCGCCTCAAAAGGGGGTGTCTTTTTGTGTTCAGCAGAGGCCATCCGGACAAGACTACCTGCAGTCAGAAAACGCCAGCACCAAGGTGTGAGGTTTGCATGGTGCATGATTTTCGGCTGAAAGGTTTGTAGCTTGATGTGGTATCCTTACCGCACCATGTACCTGTGCAAAGACACACGGCATTTGCTTAGCGTTGTCGACAGCCTGTCCGATGGCAGATGTTGGACTTGCACGACTGCATGTTGCATCACTGCTGGAAAAGGGGAGGATATGCTGAACATTTCCAGAATGCAACACTGGGCACTGGTTTTGCACGTGGTTGAACTGGACGTTCAACGGCAATCCGACTTTGATTGGTTGCAATATGATTGCCCTCTCCACATTGTTCTGTTGACATGTTTGCAGGCGTTGGACGGTTTGGCACACTAGTATTCGTGATCTGATGTAGTTGTCAGACTTTCCCTATCGCTGCGGCTCGCTTCGCTTTGCTTTTGGCCGCGCCTCCATCGTCTCTTATGTCTCAAACACAGGGTTTGGTCCAAGAATCTGAGTTGTTCCCAGGAAGCACCGCATGAAGTATCGTGCTTTTCGACTGGGCTACGCTGCTTCCGAAAAGTCCAACGAGGACTGGGCGACCAGAAGTGACCAAATGGGCAGGGTGGAGTTCCGATACCGTTGGGCATTTCTTTGGGTCCCTTTTTTTCCGTTTTTTTTGTTTGTTTTCGATTGCCTCTTCTAGCGTTCCTCAGTTGGTTCTCTTTTTGTTGCCTGTTGATTCATCGGTTGAATTCCGGTTAGCTTGTTTTTGCGGTTATTGTTTGATGTGTTGTTTTGGTTCTCGCTGGTTTATTATGGTTTCCGCTGTTAGTCCTTGGTGTTCTTGTGATATTGGTGATGTTCTGTTGTTTGGTTTCCTTATGGTTTCCCTACCCAAGATGCAGGACACAACATTTGTTCAGTCCCTGAATATACGCTCGGAAATGTAGCTAGGGTCTCCTGGCCCGGGTAGGACAGCGCCAACCATCGCCAATCCCAACACCTGGGTCAGCGTTGGTGCGTTTTTACATATTTGCCCTTGCCCAGAGTGGTCATTGGTGGGTAAGGGCTTTATTTTCCTAGGATTATGGTTGACAAGGTGCAATGCGAAGCCTTGACCACCCACTTGTTGTGTTTCTATGCGGGTTTCACCTGGAAGAAAGGAATAGCCGCCAAACGGCGCCCCCGCCCCGTCTCAGTTTACCAAGATGTTTGATGCAATGTTGCCAAAGCTTAACAGTTGAGTCCTGAACTTGAGGTGGACCTATGTTTGGTTTAAACGTGTTTCCCAAACAGAGGCGTTTTTGTTCGATGCGCAGACTGCTCTTGAAGCTACTTTTGAGTTACCATGCGCCAAGTGTAATTCTGAAGTTTGCTCTATAGGTGACCAGCAATGAATCAAGAAAGCATGAATTTGGAGTATATTCTGGATTTTTGTTTTCCCCCGATTTTTGCTTTTTAGCTTTTTGGCTTCTCGGCTTCTCGGCTTCTTGGCTTTTCGGCTTCTTGTTGGTTTATGCGGCTTTTGGTGGCTTTTTGGCTTTGGCTTTTCGCATCCTCTGCATTCCCAGTTGGTTTTTGGCTTTGGCTTCCCGCATCCTCAGCATCACCAGTTCCTCTCCGGCAAGTGTTCTTTATATTTAATATTTATGTTTATGTATGTCTGCACGAGAAAATGCTGTAAGATACGACATTTTATGTAATCTATGTATGTCTGTATGTATGCACTTCTTCGAGCATCATAGGGGTACCTCTTGAATCGTTTACCCCTAATTGAATCATCACTTTTTCGAATATCATGGGGGGGGGGCCTGCCAGTTACTCTGCCGCCCCCCGAACCTGGCTACTTTTTAGAGTTTGTACAGAGACTTAATTGCACCACTATTTGAATCATCACTGCCGCCCCCCCCAACCCCCCCGTTTTTTTTAAATATATATATATTACAGGGGTTGAAATGCCCTCCTAGTTGAATCATCATTTTTTCGATCCCGTCCACCCCCAAACTACTTTTTTGATTTTCTTACACGATTTGCTGGTGATGCTGGGGATGTTGCTTATGCATGCGGGGGATGTTGAAAGCAATGCTGGGGATGTTGACGGGCTAGTGTAAAGCAAAAGAACATGCTGTAAAATGCGACATTTGTTTTCTGGCCAAAACGTAAACGAAAAAAACTCCAAAAAAACGGAACCACATAAATAAAAATAATTCCGCACCAGTATGTTCTGTGGATGGCTCATCCGCAGCTATTAAATTGCACATATGCAACATAATTCCAGCTCCAGCGACAGCTTGATCATTTGGTACCATCTTTGTCGCTACTTTGGATTGCCTACATTCTTCCAGTCGCTACTTGCATAGCGGCAAGTACTTGAACATGATGCTTCTCAGCTTGCAATGTTTCGACCTTCCACCTACATTGCTTTTGTAGTTTGCTTACCTGCTGCGCTGTTCAAGTTTGAAGAGTCTGAGACCTGATTGCCGAATTTTAGCTTTTTAGCTTTTTGGCTTCTTGGCTTCTTGGCTTCTCGGCTTCTTGGCTTTTCGGCTTCTTGTTGGTTTATGCGGCTTTTGGTGGCTTTTTGGCTTTGGCTTTTCGCATCCTCTGCATTCCCAGTTGGTTTTTGGCTTTGGCTTCCCGCATCCTCAGCATCACCAGTTCCTCCCCGGCAAGTGTTCTTTATATTTAATATTTATGTTTATGTATGTCTGCACGAGAAAATGCTGTAAGATACGACATTTTATGTAATCTATGTATGTCTGTATGTATGCACTTCTTCGAGCATCATAGGGGTACCTCTTGAATCGTTTACCCCTAATTGAATCATCACTTTTTCGAATATCATGGGGGGGGGGGCCTGCCAGTTACTCTGCCGCCCCCCGAACCTGGCTACTTTTTAGAGTTTGTACAGAGACTTAATTGCACCACTATTTGAATCATCACTGCCGCCCCCCCCAACCCCCCCGTTTTTTTTAAATATATATATATATATTACAGGGGTTGAAATGCCCTCCTAGTTGAATCATCATTTTTTCGATCACGTCCACCCCCAAACTACTTTTTTGATTTTCTTACCCACGATTTGCTGGTGATGCTGGGGATGTTGCTTATGCATGCGGGGGATGTTGAAAGCAATGCTGGGGATGTTGACGGGCTAGTGTAAAATAAAAGAACATGCTGTAAAATGCGACATTTGTTTTCTGGCCAAAACGTAAAACGAAAAAAACTCCAAAAAAACGGAAACACATAAATAAAAATAATTCCGCACCAGTATATTCTTGGGATGGCTCATCCGCAGCTATTAAATTGCACATATGCAACATAATTCCAGCTCCAGCGACAGCTTGATCATTTTGTACCATCTTTGTCGCTACTTTGGATTGCCTACATTCTTCCAGTCGCTACTTGCATAGCGGCAAGTACTTGAACATGATGCTTCTCAGCTTGCAATGTTTCGACCTTCCACCTACATTTCTTTTGTAGTTTGCTTACCTGCTGCGCTGTTCAAGTTTGAAGAGTCTGAGACCTGATTGCCGAATTTTAGCTTTTTGGCTTCTTGGCTTCTCGGCTTCTCGGCTTCTTGGCTTTTCGGCTTCTTGTTGGTTTATGCGGCTTTTGGTGGCTTGGCTTCCCGCATCCTCAGCATCACCAGTTCCTCCCCGGCAAGTGTTCTTTATATTTAATATTTATGTTTATGTATGTCTGCACGAGAAAATGCTGTAAGATACGACATTTTATGTAATCTATGTATGTCTGTATGTATGCACTTCTTCGAGCATCATAGGGGTACCTCTTGAATCGTTTACCCCTAATTGAATCATCACTTTTTCGAATATCATGGGGGGGGGGCCTGCCAGTTACTCTGCCGCCCCCCGAACCTGGCTACTTTTTAGAGTTTGTACAGAGACTTAATTGCACCACTATTTGAATCATCACTGCCGCCCCCCCCAACCCCCCCGTTTTTTTTAAATATATATATATATATATATTACAGGGGTTGAAATGCCCTCCTAGTTGAATCATCATTTTTTCGATCCCGTCCACCCCCAAACTACTTTTTTGATTTTCTTACCCACGATTTGCTGGTGATGCTGGGGATGTTGCTTATGCATGCGGGGGATGTTGAAAGCAATGCTGGGGATGTTGACGGGCTAGTGTAAAGCAAAAGAACATGCTGTAAAATGCGACATTTGTTTTCTGGCCAAAACGTAAAACGCAAAAAACTCCAAAAAAACGGAATCACATAAATAAAAATAATTCCGCACCAGTATATTCTTGGGATGGCTCATCCGCAGCTATTAAATTGCACATATTCCAGCTCCAGCGACAGCTTGATCATTTTGTACCATCTTTGTCGCTACTTTGGATTGCCTACATTCTTCCAGTCGCTACTTGCATAGCGGCAAGTACTTGAACATGATGCTTCTCAGCTTGCAATGTTTCGACCTTCCACCTACATTTCTTTTGTAGTTTGCTTACCTGCTGCGCTGCTCAAGTTTGAAGAGTCTGAGACCTGATTGCCCTAAGTTGCTTCGCGTTCCGGGTCAACTCGTTCGCATGTCGGGGATGGGTCTCCTTCGCCTCTCTACGTTGTGCCCATCGATCCCAATCCCAGAAGCCGACCTTCAGTTGGGCGGCGTTTGGTGTAGCAAGTGTTGACCTCTCACGAAGTTGAATGCACATGATCATCGGAACTGGCAACTTTGCAGGTGCCATTGTGACCTCGTCAAAGTGGCCATGGTTGGGTTGGAAGTGTCCAATTGGGCAACCAAAGTCTGCTAGGTCATGGTTTGCAAACTCGATGGATTTACATTTGAAACCCATTTGCAGCAGACAGCGTGATCATATTGGGATGGTGTGTTCCAACATCGTCTCCTTCCGTGAAAGGATCATGGATGCCATACCATGCCGTTTCCACAGGGAGGGGGAACAACGAGGTGCATCAGAAATCTGTAGCACTTGGTGTGGAACCCACATTTGCACTTTTTTTATTGTTTGGGTTCGGACTCAGACGTGGTTTGCGCTTAAAGAACCATGGGGACGACCACAAAAATGGAATTGGGGACCCACACCCCCTTTTCAGATGGGTTGTGTGTAACCAAGTGATGATCTCAACCGATGCGAGTAAGTGTAAGAGTGCTGGCGCATGGCCCCGCAAGGCGTTTCGTTGTTTCCTTCGTTGTTGTTAAATGGAAGTCATCATGACTCGTATCCATGTATCAGTACCCTGCGTCCACGGCCAGGCGCAGGGCGTGGCAGCTTGGCAGGCACAGCCTTCCAAATGGGCATGTGTTTTTTTTTTGCGGGTACTCTCTTCGTGGACACTGAATTCGGAGGTTCCCCATGTCAAACCCACAGGTGTTTGGTTCTCGAGAGTAGCTCCATGGCACCCTTGTTGGTTCGGGGAACACCGAAAGGAAATCTGACGGCCCGAATCCTTTGACACACAGGCCTGCGTCAAACCTAGGAATGGCCCCTTGCCAAGGACTATTCAATGGTAGGTTTCCTTTTTTTGCTTCTCACGTAGTCCCCAACTGGGTCCCTTTTGACACCTTCCTGACTCACCAGTTTGGTTGAGACGAAGGATGATGCCGGCAACTTACCAGCGATGTTGACTTGTTTCCATGTTCGGGTGGCTGCTTCCTGCGCCGAGGAGATTGATCCTGCCGCACCTTGGCACGATCTACAGCCATGGACACGACCGATCGATTGTACAATTGCGCTGCATCGTTTTCAGGGCAGAGGGGAAACAGCTGCTTGCCGGTTCGGTCATGGCGAAGATGAGCGGCGCTCAAGGGGATGTTTAGTGAAGACACCTGCCAAAAGGGATCTTCCATCATATTTGCCATACAAAACGAGCTCAGAGTCAGTTACCCGTGTATGGATGTGGTGTTGCTTCCTCTCCCACGCGGCAACCAATACAAGATGGATTTCGTTGCCAACCTAAAAGCGGTGGTACAGTAAGAATGCAATTAACTGGCCCTTCTCTGGGGCCCCTGACTCGCGGGGCTCGGTTCAAAAGCATCCGCTTAGAGCTCAGGAGTCGCTTCCCATCGACGCCCCGCTGTTTCAGCACCTGAGCGATACGAAGAGGACGGAGATTATCAAGTACAGGGCCGACTATCGCCGCCCGCCCGCAAGGAAACGGTAGTGGGTCTTATGAAGATCGTCCTGCTTTCGTTGGGGCAGACCCCATTTCAAGGCGCAACGACATATCACACCTAGTTTCCCCCGTGTTGTTTTTTGTTGTTGTTCCCCGTTAAGCCCCTTTTTCTCCCTATCAAAAATCACTGGCAATAAACAGGACTGGGCTCAGAGCTACAGTTAGTGAACTTGCTGATGGAAGCAAGCAAGTGGAGAGGCACACCCTAGCGTTGGAAAGCTACAGAAAGTGCAGGCATGCGTCCGCTCCATCTTGTACTGATACTGTTTATGCCTGACTTGTGCCAACTTGTCATTTCCCAGCTGTTCCCTTTCATCCAATTGAAGTTGGCTTAAACAGCCAGACTGCGGTTCTCTCGAAACAGTAATCAAGTGCAAGCATGTCCATCAAGAATGGTTCGAGTTGTGTTGAACATGTGTTGGTTGTGTGCTTGAACATGTTGATCTGCAGTGTCCAAAAGATGCAAGCGTCAGTCGCCAGGCTCGTACTTCTCGTGGCTGGCTCTATATTATATTCGGGTCATATGCAAGTCTTGCCGGTCCAGACTGAAAGCGCCATTCGTGACAGCTCCAACCGAGTTGATGTGGGGGTGTTGAGGAAAAGTCTGCGATTGTGGGGACTCTGCATCATTGCCGCCCAGTGTGTGATGTTAGTTCTGCTTGTGTGCGCATTCGGCTTTTGACTGGCTGCGCGCTCTTAGGCAAGTACCGCCTTGGCTACGCAACTGGTGCCAAGGGCGAGGTCGCTGATATCTTCAAGAAGCACATGAACTCAGATACCTGGTTCTACTATGCTGTCTGCAATCTGCATCCACTGAGTGCTCTTTTCGTGTGTGTGTGTGTGTGGGTGTGCTTCCCAGCTTCTCAAACTCAATTCTAGGCGCAGGCTCTTCAAAGCTCAAGTCTGTGCCAAGGAGGAAGAATACAAGGGCGTGGAGACGATTCTGGAGCGGACTGTGTCCAGTGGCTCTGGCGCCTTTGCCAAAATTTGATCACAAGCCCAAAGCTGGATCCACAGCACTCAAAGTCAGTAGCAGCATCCTCCATAGCCAGGGTTGACATTTGAAAGCCGTCTTGTTTTGGGCAAGCAGGACCTGGGCATCCCTGTGCTTTGCAGCGTGATGGTGTTGCAAAAGGGCCATTCATCTTTGATTTCTCCCCCCTGGTATGCCAAAGGATTTAGGCTGTGATACCACCCACTGCTTTTGTTTTTTTTCTGGGACGAAAGAGGATTAAAAGCAGTCAGCCCTGGGTGGCCCAAGAAGACTCAAAGGGCTCGAGTCAGAGCACCCTTTTTGAACAATTGCAAGTTATCAAGGTCACGATGTTTGCCAGTATTTTCAGGCACCCACGTGAAACATGTTGACCCCTTGATAGCCCCAGTCAAGAACTACTCCGCGGTGGATCCCCGGAACCATGGAACCCCGAAACACCGGGCCACACAAGCGCCTTTTGGCCTCGGATGCTGTGTTGCAGGTTTGCACTTCAGTCTGTGCTTCAATCCGTTCTCGGTGAGCAAAGTTCATGTTGGTAAAGAAGCAGAACACGTATCCAAATACAGACAGGCTGCGTGGGTGCTTGTGGATGCGTGTTGTTCTTTTTTTGTTTAATCCCCCAAAGAAAATGCTTGCACAATATGGTTTGGGTTGCTTTCTTCGCCGATTCTACATGGAGCTTGACTTTTCTTTTTCTGGATCCAGACTCCATCCATTCACCACCCAGCAAAGACCACATGTGTTTCCCATGCCTCAAGCATTTAACCAACATGAGAATGACTTCCTCCGTGTCCTGTTGTTTCGGCTGCTACTCCGGCAATTCTGCTAAACGAACCGGTGTTCATGCACAAAAGGTGCTGGGACAAGTCATTGCCTGTAAACATGAGGGGGCCGCTCTACGGGTTCTAGCGACTGGGTTCCTTCACATCAGAATCATGTGCCCCAAAGGGGCCGCTGGACTCGTTTCAAAGGCAGAGCCTGAAACTGGGCCTGCCAAGGGCCAAGCAATTGGGGGAGGTGTTTTTTTTTGGCACACTGTTCAGCTTAGTTTGAAAGGGAAAGTGAAAGGAGGACCAACACATTTCCTTTGGTGCCTCAATTTTGACACACCCACACTCATGCTCTTAATACCTCCCCCATCCTCCCCTCTCAGTCGACGGCAGAAACAAGAATTGCAGTCGCAGGTGCGGATGATGATGAGGCTGCTTGGCAAAGGGGAAGAGGAAGGATGCCAAAGGGGCAGCCAGATTTGGCAGCTGTGTGTCTTTGTGTCAAGTATGTGGTTCTGGGGTTTTGCTTGGATTGGTTGGTACAGATTGTTGCATCTTGACCAAGTGTATGGTGCGCGGCTATCCCATGTCCAGCTATCACTTAGGGCCAATGGCATTTGCAGGTGTTGGCACCTTTAAATAGGATCTCCTCGTACGGGGCACCAGCCCTGAACGGAGGGCTGCGCTTTTTAACGCGTCGCTAGCGAGAGTCACACACGCAACACAATCGACTTCTTCTATTTGGGGAGCACGGCAAAACAAAAATCCGAATTCTCCCGCAACCTGGAATTGGAGCATCCTGCTTTTTGATGTCCATCGGAGAAGACACTATTTGTGTGTGGGTTGCCCTGGTAAATGGAAAGGACATGAAAGGATTAAAACCTGCGGTCTGGTGGTTTAATTTTGACCCATACCCAGGGACCATCTTCTTGGAACGCCCACGTTTGGAGGCTCTAGCGCGCACCTTCAGCGAGCCTGCGCAGACCTGGAGGCGAGAAGCTGGACTCAAAGGGTTCGACTCGGTTGGAGTCCTCGATAAAGCCCCGGACTTGTCTAGGTCCCCCAGTAGTGCCCTTTTACCCTTTTTGGGGGAGGGTTCCCTACTACAATAGACTACAGAAAAAAGGGTACCCTTATTCTAACCTCTCTGCTGGTGATCTCACAAAAAACAGCTTTGGTTGCATTTGGCTGTTTGTGAAGGGCATGTTGGCAAAGTCAAGCGCTGTTAAGCGTGTCTTTCTTTGCGAAATATGTGCCGTAGAGGATCTCAGTCTGGAAAAATGTAGTTTTGCCAAGTACTTATCGGCCCACAACCCAGCAAGATAGAAACAGACACACAAACACACTTCCAGGGGTTACTGGGTTACACTGGCTTTTGCGAAGTTGATTGTTTTTAAAAATGATCCCCTCATACCAAGTGGAGCGCCTCTCCTCGCGGAAGCGAATTTGGCAGGCCCAGGCTACCATCTGGCCTCGTCTCTGGGTTGTCGGGCATTTTCTCCGAGGCCCGGAATGGGATTGGGCATCCGGCATTCCTTTCAAGGGCACTAGGGGTCTCACTTGAACCAATCGGATTCCACGGAAAAAATATATTGCCGACAGATGCGAAAGCCAATGTTTGCCACAGCGATTTCCAACTCCTGATCGAAGCTGCAGGGTCAACCTGTAAAAGTTTCTTTGAACCCGTACTTCCAGTTCCCTGTATAGTAGGTAACCAAGGCAACCAGCCTTTAAAAACTAAACGGAAAACTGCGAAAGGCTACCTACTATAGTGGCTTGCCTGGGATCCACTGGGTAACGAAGGTCTCTGCTCAACATGAATCAGTTGTTTTTCGGCCTTCAGGTGATCCCGAACCCTGCTCTGCTTGAGTTTCTAGGTCATGGAACCTTTGCGCCTAGGATGTCTAGAGCGACAAGGACATCGGAAACCAATGGGCTCACCTCCTGGTTGTGGGGTCATTTCACTCTTATCAATTCACCGGCCAAACTTAGCACCTTTTGTTGGTGGCTCTCTTTGTCATTTAGTCACGGCCCACCAGTCGACTCCGGCACTCGATGTTTTGACAGACAAATTGCCCGGCGGACACCGAGGCTTTGTGCCAGGAGGTGGATGAGACGGCTAAGACCATGTACTTTACGCAGCCCAAGTCAGTGCACCCAAGCTGCAGCTTTTGACCGTTTTGGCCCTGAGGCAGAGGGGGAGGTGAAGCAAAGTGGGTTTCAGGTTGGATCGAATTTTCCTCGGAATCTCAGTAAGGCACCTGGTACGCTGTTGCGAGCTTTGTTTTCTGTTTCTGTAGCAGATTTCTGGGGGCATAGGTGTCCTTTTTGGTTTGTTTGCTCAAAACATAGGGGGCGATTCCTGGTTTAGATGGGGTTTATTCCATTTCCCAGGGAAACCCATCTATTTTTCCAAAAGGCCATGTCTGGACGGGGTGTTGCATGGTTTCAGGTCCTTGAAGGAGGGCCCTTTGGAATTCGTGTGAGGTTTCCCCACATTTGCATGTGTCCTAAGAAAGAGACCCCCCTGGAAAAACTCGCTGGGTGTCCTTCGGTTTCCCTTGGAACCCACCCCTGAAACAGGGAATCTCCTCTGGGTGAATTCTGACGACCTCACACGACCTCACCCATGGTGGCTTATGTGGGGAATGGCCCCCCACCTTATTTCAGGCTGGTAAAATACTATAATTAACCCAGAGGTATTACCCTTCCTGACCACCTTAATGCTTATGCCTGACAATGTGGGTTTTGCTGGCTGCCATTCATGGTGTTTCACCAGAGATTGCGGGATTAGCATCAGAGATCCAGTTTTGCACAAGCCATCTTGCCCTCACTCCCTGAGTTTCTTGGACTCTCGACTTTTTGGGAAGGCCATTTGATGCACCCTCCCACCAGTTAAGATGGAACCTGACAGTCCTGGACGCCTATGTTCCTTTTAAAGAGACCCCCTGTCAGGGCCCCCTGTCAGGTTCCATGCTTTGGTGGGAGGGTACCACTAGGCAAAAACTCCACTCAGCCCCCCTCACCCGCCCGCCCGCCCGCTTGGATTTCCGCACCCGAGGCTGCCTGACCCCGGGGCCAGCTACTTTCAGGTGCCACAGCTGGAGGCGTCCCGAGAGGGTCTGAATGTGTGTGTGTGTGTGTTTTTTGTTTTGTTGAGGGTAACTTTCGGGGGGTGGTTTCAAGGGAAAACCGCAGGGATTCCCATTTTTGGGGTCCCCCTCTCTTGACACATGCAGATGCACTAGTCTGTGGTTCATTCGGAGATACTTTTGGGGGGCTTAATACCACAACAGCTAGCCGACTCTCTTATCTTGCCATGTCCGTAAGGGGTGGAGCAAATTTTGACCGTGGCACGAATGGATCTATGGAACTGGCCCCATTTTGCCAGCTCGGCAGTCTCTCCTTTTTGGGGGTGACTTGGCTGGGTTTTTACTGGGGCCATCGGATTGCCACCGTGATATCAAACCTTCTGCTTGAATCAGCGCCTCCATAAATTGGGCGGGTGCTTTGGAGGTTTCAGTTCTCCTTCATGTTCGGTCATGGTCATTTTTCGCCTCGCCGAGGGCTGGTGGATCTCGGCGAACTGGTTCCTCCCTTTGAGCTTTCAACCAAGCGTTGTGTAAAATGGTTGTACAAGTCTGTAGAACGGTTGAAGAAACACTTCACATTGCAGGCGCGTAAGGGAGGTAAGATAATGGTTGAATGGGGTCAACGCATTGCTGGTTGAGCGTCAAAGACCTTGACATGAAACCAGAGTAGGCCCCAAACAGCTCAATCTGCGCCCAACAAGCAGGCAAGCTGAGTCATGGTTTCTTCCTATGCCAGCACCGAATGTATGTTGCAGCCTTGCAGCTTTTGCATACAATATGTGACAGGGTCTGGCAGCCTCACATCAAGCAACACACGTAGCATCACGATGGAGCGACAAACACCACACTGATGCGGACAGCATCACTACTACGCAACCACAACCATGCAAGCACTCGTGTGCCGATCTCAGCAGCGTCACGCTGACAGGCGCCAAACCAACGCGCAAGAACTGTCAGGACGTACACCCCGCATGATAATGCGACCGTAGCAAATGACGCAGGAAAGATCATAACAATGATCCAGGCAACATCAAAATCATGCAAGCAGCGTCATCAGGATTCAGGCAGCATCATCATGATGCATGAAGCATCGTCATGATGCCTTGGTATGAATTTACGCAGAAGCCGTAAACAAGTAAACACCACCACAGGCTGCATCAGGCAACATCACGATAATGCTGCAGCCCGCTTACAGCGCAATCAGGATGGCCCAAACACATTACATTGGCAGCAAAATCCTGACGGCGCAAATGAGAATGAAGCGCAGCAGAGACACACAGCGCAATGGTCAAGTGGACCGGGCAGCGCAAGGCAGCGTTCAATGCGTGGGATCCCTTAGAGTAAGCAAGAGAGACCAGCCAAGACGCCCAAGAGCTAAAACTGGCTGGGAAGAAAGTCGTTTCGCAAGCCCGCTGCCTCAGGTCATTTGGCAGTCAACGAGCATTAGCCGACTAACCGCCTGTGAACGTTGACCCGTCCCTGAGTTGAGTGGGGATGAATCACTTTTGGAGGGAACAGCCCCCAAATTAATGAACAGGGGTTTCCTAATCCGGGGTCAACAGTACTCCACCCTCCCTCCACGTGCGCGACTCCGCTTTGGAACGGGAGGACGGCACGCTGCAGCTGGATGCCGAGCTTCTCATGGCCCACACCCCGCTGCCCAAGGCAAAGAACTCACAAGGGGGGAAACCGCCTGGGCCAAGGGTCCTGGAAAACCATTTTCCTTTTAAATGGACCCTTTGTCAGTCAGGTTAGTTCCATGTTAATCGGTGGGAGGGTACTTCTTGTTTCTGGCTTTTAGAGGAACCAAAAGGAAAACCACCTTTTGGGGGGGAGGGTCCCCCAAAAAAGACCCCCACCTGTTTCTGGTTCCCCGTGTTGGGATGTGGCCGCGGGATTTTCTCCAGTCGCCCCAGGTCAGGTTCCTGTAGTTCCCCAATTTGACTAGTTTGCAAAGGGAAACCAAGAGAAGCCATCTATGTGAGAGGGGTTGTCCCAATTGAGCCACCCTGTTTTGGTGGCTTCACACATCTCCTTTTGGGTCAACTCAAAGTGAGCTTCTTGTGTCTTGGGTTTGAAGGGGATATATCCGGAACCTTGGAGCTGCAAGCCGCGGGTTGATGCTCTTTTGGGGTGGGTCTCACGCGACCCCGTTTTGTTGGCAACGCCTTTGCCATGGAACTGCTCTGCTTCCAAATCAGCTGCAACCTAAGTTTCGTGCTGTGAGCATCCTGTGTCGCACATGGTGAACCGGCCGAGTGAGGTAGCAATTAATACACAGGACCCACACAGCAATCAAGCAACTGCAACCTGATCATTACGCGGAAGACGTAAGAATGTAAAGCGCAAGCTGCAAACCGAGGAACTCGCGTTCTTTGCCTTCTTGAGTGGTAAGTATAAGTAGGGGTGATTTCATGATTCTGCTGCCTCCATTCGAAAAGCTAGCTATCAGAAGGTTCGGGATTCGGGATGCTTTGCGGTGGCAGTGTGTTTTTGTGGTTGGTCAACGTATTTGTGAAGTTTCAGATTCCAGATGATGCTGGATCCTTCTTTCATGCGCTAGACCCAAAGCAGGTATTTGAGTTCTACATACTTCTTTCCTCTAATCAGCCCAGAATCCGCCTGGAATCTGCGCCAGTGGCAGTGTTTTCAGGGTACTGGGGTCTTATCGTTGTTTGGCACCAGAGATAATAAGACTATTGGGCATGCACGCGCGAACGGTGAGCCTTCAGCCGGGTACGCTCACCATATCTGCATGAGCGAATCTGGGTCAACACTTGGCAACATCTTCCCTAGACAACCATGAGGAACCAAGAAACGATGTTTATTTCCTAGGTTGAAGACACGAGTTAGTCCTGGGGATGGTTTTAGAGGGAAACCAAAAGTAAGCCAAGCACCTGGAGGTGAGAGACACCCAAGTGGGACATGAGTGCATGCAGGCGGCCTCAGAGTTCTCCTCGATCCACGTGGTGCAGACATCAGGCGAAAGGGGGGGCGTCGAGTGAGGTCGTGCTGGTGCGATGAACCATCCAACGGGTGGTTTCCTTGAAAGGGACCCCGGAACGGTTCATTCCCACCTTCCCTACTGACCAGCAATATGGTGAGTGGGGTGCTCACCTTGCAGTGTTGAGACTTTGTGAAGGTTCATTATGTTTCTTGGTTCTGACTGGTCTGACCGCGCACTTATGCAACAAGTCGCAAAGAAGCGATGGCTTTCTCTTTTCCAAGCACAAAGCAACGGCGACAGACCAACACCAAAACTTCTTAACAAATAGCTAAAAGAAACTCGGGGGTTCCATGGTTCACCGATACACGCACAAAACAAGAAGACACAAAGCAAAGCAAACCTTCCGAGTTTCTTTATTCCAATTTCCTTGATCAATTCCTGTCGCCGGTCTCTATCCATTGCTTGACCGCCCGGCTGGAGGCGTCGCAGCGAAGATCACAGCGGCACAGATCAGGAACTCGGCGGCGCGGATCGGGCAGCTCGGTGGCGTGCACGAAGAGCTCCGTTGCTGCGAAAGCGGCTTTGGACCTTTGGGGTGTTTCATATTGGCTGGGCTTCTTAAACTTCCATATTTCTTGGTCCTGGGTCCAGGTTTGTTTGGTGACTGGAAATCAGAAACGTTGAAAAGGATCCGTTCCTCAAGGCTCAACTGGAAAAGGGGTTTTGTTGATGGACAGCTGTTATTTTTTTCAGGGACCCTGGAGAACGGATGGATGGGAGCGAGTCGGTTTCGAGTCCCAACTATTTTTTGGCGACCCGAGGATTCCCGAGTGACCGAAGGGAAACCCAAAGGAAAGCGGCCAAGCGGCCGGCCTTTGAGTCCAATTCTCATAGAGGATACCTCAGGAATCACTCGACATAGTCGTGATGGCAAGTGGAGCCACTTGACGGTTGGAAACCCCGAAGCTGTGATTGGCGAAAAAGACGCGCCACCACCTTCGCGAAAGACCAACCATTGACGTAGGGGCACCACTTCACTGGCACCTCCACAAGGGCCCACCCCCCGGAAGAAAGGACGCCCCCTAAAAGACCCCTGATTGATGACAGCAAGTAAAGATAAGTACAAGTATTAGCTTGGTTTTGAACACCATGAATGAAGCCAGTCTCTAGTTGTTTTTTTTTTCCTCAAGATGTTTTGTTTCGTGAGACGGCAATCCCCAATCAAAGGGGTGAACCAGGAGGTTCTCAAGTCCATGATTTTGGTTCCAGTCACAAGACGAAGTTACCCCAACCTGCCCATGATCAGGGTTCCTTTCATGAGTGGGGATGGGGATACTAGCTGGGGTCAATGAACAAATCACGTTCGCCGGTTGGTTTAGGAACGGATCCTTTCTGCCAACGTGGGTTTTTTCAATGTATTTTCAGGAGCCCTCGCTGTTCGCCGAGGAAGAAGTGTGTGACCCACGACTGGCCAGAGCTTGCCAAGGATGCCAAGGCGGAATTCGATGAGCCCCGGAAGGAAGGGAGCTGCCGTATGTTGATTGCTAGGGTTTAACTTTTCTTAGATCTCCTGTACTCAGAGTGTGCATTGTAAGGTTCACTGAATATGTGCCTTGTTTTATGGGTACCCTTTTTGTTGGTGTGTTACGGACACCACAAGGAAAACTGTTTTTTGTTGCCTAAAACAGACACAGACACAGACACACACACAGACACAGACTCACACACAGACTCACACACAGGTAGGCCCAGAATCAAGCACGTTATGTTTGGTGGGAAGCAACATCTCAGGTGTTGATACCCATTTGGGAGGATTGCGCTGGGGTCCCTTAGGGAATGTTCTGCACGTTCGCACTTTTCGGGTCCCTGACTTGTTTGCTGGAACTCCCAGCCAGCCCAAATTGTTGCACGTCTTGCAAGTGTTCAACATGTATTCTCTTAAGTGCTTCAACTTCAACCACATGGTTGGGCGTGAGCCACATGGAATCACGTCAACCTCAGATTTCAGAAACGCCTCTGATATATGCAGGGAGATGTCCCTTTTCCGTGGAGATACTCCACTTTGGGAGGTCCCATCGCTCCAACCAGCCGAATCGGAGCCGAGACAACGCCTAGGATTTGCTGTTATTTCATGGGCGCCCAGTCGGTTTGTTCGGCTTGGATCTGAGGCCTTGTATGCGCTGGGCAGTGACCTGATCCTGAAGGCGCTTGCTCAGAGACCTGGTCTGAAGGGCAATCAGCAAGATCGTGTGGTTGGGTTACACAAGGGGTGACTTGACCCCCCTTTGTAGCTGTTTCTCAAAGCAGGGTTGAGCAACCCTCAAGTTTGACCAACCCACCCGACAGGACCCGGACAACTTGGCTTTGTTATCGAAGCACCTAAATTCAGACTAGATGTTTGTTGGGAAGTCATTCAGGAATGTTGGCCAACCAGCCCAATGGTGGGGAACATAGGCTTTGCCGTTGATCTGCCTTTCGCAAAGCGCGGGACGTTAATGGGCAGCCCGTCTGGGCCCTTTCAGTTTCATGTGTCTGGCAGTGAGTTGAAGGAGAAACAAAGCAAAGCTTGCTGGTCAGTAGGGAATGCGGGAATGACCCATAAAATCATCTCTACTGGTTTCCTTGAATCAAGGGGATGGGTCACAGGAAGTTCTACAGGAAAACAGCTGATTTCGGGTGTTTTGGGGCCATTTCCTGTAGATTTTCCTGTAACCCACCCCTTTGATTGAAGGGGACCCTTGTAAACAATCCAGCTGGTGGTTTGCTAGAATGTGGGAATGTGGGCCCAAGAGAAACCATCCAACGGGTGGTTTCCTTTAAAGGGGCCCCGGAACGGTTCCTTCCCACCTTCCCTACCGCACCCGCCAGACGCGTCGCCCGCGAGTCCACGGCAGGGGGCCAACCGCGCCACGCTGCTGGTCTTCGTGGGCGCCGGGGAGCCGGGGGAGATGGCGCTGGCGGTGATCCTCGCCATGTGGCCCGGCAGAGACTCTGAGACGGAGACTCCTGGGATTTCGACCCCCACCCTCAAAAAAATTGGAGCTGGGGGAGGGATTTCGACTGGAAATCCCATGTCTAAAGATCCATTTGTTCCCTTCGATTGGGAAGACTATAAAAATGGAATTGGGGGCCCCACCCCCCTTGCCCCCACAGCACGTCCATTTGCTGAAACGATTTTTTGCCCCCTGTTGGTTTTAAAGGGAATCGATTTCACTACTGGACATATTTTTATATTTTTGCCAGGGGTCTTAACCAAATGGAAGGACTGAGATGGAGGGAGACTGAGATGGCTGTGGTTGTCAAAACCGTTTTGGGATCCCATTTTGGCGGATTGGGCGAATTCACAACCCATTTTAAAACCTACTTTAGTGGGGATTGGGATGTTCACTGGGATACGGGATTTTGACCCATGGCCAGATGGAGGGAGCGTGATTCGGGCAAGCTGGAAACTTGGAGCATGTGTTTGGTCACCATATCGTAACCATTATGGTTTAACCACCACGCTGTTACCGCCATGGCTAGTGGGTTTCCATAAGGGGAACTACTATAGTCCAACAATTTTATTGGTTTCTATTCAAAGGGGAAAAGGGGTTGGTGTCCCTTTATTTGCCAAGAACGGGGTCCAAACGATGACTGAAAGATACCTCGTGTGGTGGCTCCTTTTGGCACCCCGTTGAAGGGGTGCGTCCCTGGGGAAAACATGTTATGGGCATTGGGCATGATGTTTGCAAGGATTTATTTGCCGATTGCGGGCTCGCACGCTCGCCTCCAGCTGCACATGGGTCCCCCCCTTGTTTGCCATCAGCCCAAGAAACGCCCCCTCCCCGACGAGACATGTAGGGAGCTGAGGCAGAGACGTCCTGACGCAGGGGCGTATGTCCTGTGAGAGAATTGAACCGGGAACCAATCTGAGTTGTGCAGAGGAAGCCAGGCCCGTTGTGTCCATTTTCTTAGTGCACGTATCAAATTCCACCAAATGCTGTACCTATTTTGTCATGTCAGTCATGGTCCGGATGCAAAGAGCCCCAAGGGCCTCATGTGCTGTTCACTGCTTCGCAGAATGACGCATGTGTGTCACCGAGGCTGCCCTTCCGCCGCTTGTCAAGCAGTGGTGCCGGGTTCTCTTCGCAACTCTTTTGTCTGAAGCTGTGAGTCTTCCCGCATTTGGTGCATGATGTTTCCTAGAGAGCCGTCAACCGTGGTTGGTGGACATGAATCCAAGCCCAAATGGAGTCCAACAAACGTCTCCCAAGCTTCACGGTCCATGTTCCCACAAGGATCCAAAAGGCAGACCTTGCTCTTGCCAGGTCCTGTCAGCATGTCGTAGAGACTTAGAGCCTTCGAGTTCGAGCTGAGGTGGCATTCAACTGGCCTACGTCACCCCGGCTGAGGACACCATCAGATCGCACGTTGGTTTGGTAATTTTGCCCCGATATGTCCTTGTTCACTGGTTGTCTCAAAGCTCTCCTATTTAAGTGAGTTTCCTTGGTGTGGGTGATGTTTCAAGGGCAAATATTGGGAACCCTGAGGGACCTGCTGGACCCATTTGAATGAACGCTAAGGGGCATTCAGAATTCTGAATATCATTTCCAAGTCAAGATTTTCCCACTTGGACTTGGACCAAAATCCTTCCAAAGGAGTACGAGAACCCGCTGGATACCTTGACATCCCCCAGCGGCGTCTTTGAGTACACCGCCACCCAGCCCGAGCGCATGGGTCGCGCTTCCTTGGCGGCCGTCTTCGGCCCGGGGCCACAGGAGGCTTTGAGGGGCTCAAATGCCTCCGACTGCTTGGAAAGTACCTAGGGTTTTGGACCTTTGGCGGGGTGCGGGTTGGGACGAGCTCAGTTTGTTGCGGGCCGTGTCGACACCCAATGTGCAGTTGTTGTGTCTGGTTCGGGACAGTATGATTCCTTCAATAGGTGAGTTTGCATGTCGTACCTTTTGAGTTGGCAAACACTATGGACAAATCAGATGCCTGCTTTTGCTTGGTCAATTATTGTAACCAATCACCGAGGTGTTGGTGTTTGCAAGTTGTATCATTGTGTTTCTGCGGGGAATGGCCACATTTGGACATGGGATTCCTTGATATTCAGCTGCCAACGTGATGTGCCGCTTGACAAGGCTTACCAGTAAAGTGCCGGGCCACTGTTTGCATTTTCCCCCAGTTGGTTCCAAGCAGTGAAACAATTACATACAAGATGTATGTGCGGAGGTGTGTCTCTGTGTGTGTGTGTGTGCGCGCCTTCTTTGAGTTCAGCGGAAGTGGTGATGTATTTCTACACTGACTTCCAGTTCTATCCTTTTGTGAGGGTCAAAGGTCACATCAGAAAGGACAGCCTAGTTCGATCCAGCTTGGAATGGAGAATCTGCGACTATATGTTGACACGTTTAAATCATGTTGACATGTTTGTAAGATTCCCCCTATAATACTATATAAATATAAACAAATTCATTGTGTCACGTGTTTGTAAGGTTCCCTCTCTCTATATTTACATATATATAATATATATATATATATGGGCCATATTCAAGTGCTTTAGATCTGGTTGAGGGCAAGAGCTAAGCGAGGCCCTCTGGAGTCCACCAGCTTCAAGAAGCCGCTCTCCGAGTGGAAGCCCCTGAGTGCGGCGCTGAGAAAATCGTCACAGGTGAAGTCAGGTGGAGGGGGATGGTCCCTGCGCCCGGTACGGATCCCTTGGTTGTTGTTGGGCCACATTTTGCATTTTTGCTTGTTGTGGTGTAGTGGGAAGTGTGAAATCCCCGCGAAACTGGTAAAATCTTAAGGTTTGCTTCCCTTCCAACGTCACTGAAGTGATGGTCGCGGGTAAGGATCCTGAATAAACCATCATACTGATTCCTGACGTTGCGCGGGCGGAGTTGTAATGATTCCTGCTAAGGGAACCATGACGCAATCGGCCAAACAAGCGGAGTTTGGCCATGACTCATCCACCGTGAGATGGTCAGAGTGCCACTGACTCTCGGACATGGAAATCTGTTTCGTTTCTGTTCACCTGCTATTACCGATGAAGGGTAAACCACCTTGAGCATTTTGATTACCCAATCGGCCATCGGAGTTTTGACCAAGGCACACGTGGGTTAGAGGCGGCTTTCCGCTCACCTGCTGACCAGTACAAAGACAGGAAGGAAGCAAGAGAAGCAAGAAAGCGTGCAAACAGGGAAGCAACGAAACAAGCAGCTACACCAACCAAACCAACAAGCACACAACCAAAGCCCAGTGTGTCGAAGCGAGGGCTTCTTGGTCCGACTAAAGAGAACACCGAACAATTCTTGCGTCTCTAGCTTTTGACCCCAATCCACCCTCCCCGCAGAAAGAAGCCCACAAAAAGTCCCTTAAATAGTTGCTGGGCCTCATTCAGGCCAGGTCCCGTGTTTTTTTGTTGACACACCATACAAACCCCTCAAGCAAACTGGCAGTCTTCAGTTTCTTGCGCATGAAGCAAACACATAGCCACTCATTGCCAAACAAAAGCCAATCATGACGTCCTCGAAACCAGCACAAAACATGCCCGGCTTGGCCCTCTATATCAATAGATTAATCTGTTTTGGTGCTCTGGAGTTGGTGTGCGAATTCCTCATCTCCTCTTCGCCTCTTGAAGAAAGGGCCAAGTTGATAGTTGACCCCGTCTGAATCCCCGTTCTCGTAGTGGGAATGTCCTTCGTGTCAGAAATTCCTTGCGATTGCGCGCAACACGTTGCAGGCATGCCGCAATGCCCCTCCCGAACGATCTCTCAGACAGGTGCTTCCGCACCAGACTCCGTCGCAAACCGCCCAAACCACAAACCAGGATTCCATTTCTTGAGATCCGTAGACTTATTTCAGGGTTGTTTTTAGGGAAACCCTGAGCCCTGGGTTCAAGCCTCCCGCGCGAGGACCCGACGTGCATCCGGAGGAGAAGCCGGCCCCCTTCAAGATTGGGGGCCTGGACTTGCCAATGGCCCGGGGCCCAAAAAGTGGACTCCGGCAACCCCAACCGAATCCAATTCCCGAGGTTTTCTCAACGGGCGACGGCAAGCCGTTGGCTTTTGCGGTGTTGGTGTCTACACTAATCAATTGCCTTGAGATTCTACGCTTCCGTCAGATGTTGACACTCGGGATTGAAGAGCCGCGTTCCAAAGTCGTGAGTGGATTCGTGCGAAAAGGGGTGAATCCAAGGCTGGTGTTTCAGCGAAATCCGAAACGTGGCTGGGGTGGACATGGCGGGACATGCCATAGGCTTGATGTTGAAAGGATGTTGGGTGTATTTAATTTGGTTGTCATTTGCGGCGGGCAGAAAGCATAAGTGGTGCTTGTTCAGTACATGGCGACTTGGCGGTCTTGCTTGGTGATGTATTGATTTGTGTTTTCGCATCACCATTCTCAGCAATCCTCTACCCTTCAAGTCGTGATTGGGCCAGAACTCACGCTCCGTTCAGACGTGACTCGTTGCATTGCCTGCTCTCAAGCTGGTCAGTGTATGACTAAACGTCTGGCCCTTGAGGGCGACTTTTGTGTTGACTCCGTGATGGCTCCGCTTTACATTGCTTTTGGTTCAGCCTTCTCTGCCTTCGCTCGGCTTTGCCAGAGGTGTTAACCGTTTGGAAGCTCCACAAGTTAGTGAAGCTCGAAGCCAAATTAGATGTTTCGACAAACATGGAGGCCCCCTCGTTCTCCGTTGGTGAATGCTGCGAAAGAAAACGGAAGCAAACCTGCCATTCAGTGGTGTCACGTACTTCTAGGGCACGATGACCTTCCTCCCCCCTCCCCCAAGAAAATATGTTCCAGCAAGCAAGATTACCCATTTATTGGCGGAGCATGCGAAGATGCAATGGAGTGATGCTTGGGGTTCACATAGCAAGCAGAGAGCACATATTTATATAAAACAAAGTATACCTTGAAGCATGTTATATACATTCACAGAACTCACCAAGCAAAACGTGTACATATATATATATATATATACTATAGAGAGAGATCTGCGTGCATCAAGACAAAGGTACCACCCCCCACTTCTCGCAGGTGACCTACGAGGGCGCCTACAGCGACGGCGTGGAGCGCCTGGCGGACCTCTTGGTGAGGCCAGCAGCGGGGGGACGCGGCCAGGGGTTGGTGTTAACTGCCCAAGGCGTGGCGCATCTTTTTGGAGGTCGTGCCCTCCCACCAATTAACATTGAACAAGACAGGGGGTGCAGGGCTGATCCTTTTGACCTGACCATCCTTGCGAGAGAATGCAGAGGCCCCAATCGACGTGCAGAATACCTCCCTAGGCTTTACTAGGGACAGATGGGCTGGTAAACGCTAAAGGCTAAAAGTCAACATGGAACATGAGATTCACGTGGAAGATTGTGCTAATGAAAAACACCCTCTTACAGCATTTTCCAACCACATGAAGGAACCATCTCTGATTGCAACCGGCAGGGTGGTTTGAATGCCTAACATGGACCAGTCGGTGCCTTCTTTGGGTCCGAGGTTCGGGTTTCGGGGAAGTCTCGTTGGGCAGCACCTGCGGAGAAGCGCGCCAGGCACTACGGCAGTGACATCTACCCAGTGGTCTCCGTAGGCACGCCGGACCCCTTGCGCCCCCTGGAAAACGGCAGGGAGGGTATTGCAACAGGAATCACCTGAGCTTATTTCGAGGGGTCGGCCCAAACTGAGAGAAATCACCGGAATCTGGCGTGGAACCTCAAGATCCTCAAGGAAGGAAGGAATGGGTGGATGAGTCTTAGGTTTTGCGGTTGTTGCTTGCCTGGACACGTCAGTCAGGGGAGAACCAACTCGGAAAATCTGGGTGGCTACTCGGATTGAAAACCAGCCCTTGGTTTGCTGTTAAATAGGCTTCTCATCTACGTGCCAAAGCTAGGTACCCTTTCTGGGGCAGTTTCAAAAGGACTCCAACATGAAGTTCATGCTTTGAGTGAAGAGAGTGCTGCGACAATTAACGCACTAAATATTGTCGAGCGGGGAAGAAGGGCCCAGTGTGGGAAACGAACCGTACCACCTTGTGAAAAGTGATTACCTTGTCTTAAGAGGCAACCTTCTGCAGTGTAAGCTACAAAAGGCCGGAGTTCTTTTGGTTTCCCTGAAATCACCACGCAAAAGGGCCCTTGAAGGAAAAGGGAGGGGTTCTCGCGCGGTTCACTGTCAATTTGAGCACCATGCTGGCAGGGGAGACTGGTGATGCTTTGGGCTATGGCCGGGTGCCCAGTGAGGGATGCATTGTCTATGGCCGCATGAGCCCTACCCTTCCCCCCCCCCCCCCCCCAGATGTGTGTTTTTGAGATGCCCTTTGTGGGTTGATTTTAAGAAGAAACCCAAAAGAGGCCGTACATCGCATCGTCGCAGGGCCGATTTTGAGCGGCTAAGGCGATGACCTGTTGGGAGCGCTCGCGAGCAGAGACTGCCCGGGCTTCTACTTCCCCCATGCCTCGGGCGAGACCTGCAAGAGCCCTGAGGCATGGGAGGGGAGAGACCGGAGGCCGGAGAGTCTCCGCCATCGCTTGAGGCTGGAGGCAGTAAGAACGCCTGAACCCGGGACAGGTTGGCACTTACCCATCAGTTGGAGGCGTTCTTTAATGCCATCTTGGAGTGTGGTAGAGAAGGAGATTGGGGCAAGATGGGGGAAGTGGAAAGGTAGCTGAGGCCGTGGAGCTGCGTATCATTCGGTGCTGGGGCATGTTTGTTTCCCAATGCATCACACCACGTTGGCCTCACCAAGCCCAATTGCGTGAAGATATGCAGTATGCATAGTTGCGTGAAAACTCTTCGTGCTTGGTTGTGTGTTGTCTGTTGCTTGATGGTTGTGCTTGTTGATTTGTTTCTTTAGGCTTTCAGTCGTGCAGTCAAGCACATGGCAACTTGCCTCGCATTGTACTAATGTTTGAACTTGCAGGAACACGAAGGGAGAGCATTGAGGGGCAAGAGCTGTTCGAGACTATATCCTACCCAAACATTGCTGAGCTCGTTGTACTTTCAACCTCTTGGATTTCAGCAAACCAAGAATAGGCTCGGGCAACAAAGCAAGAGTTGACAACTTCTGAAATCCTCCCCCCCCGCTGGTCTCCTTTACGGGCAAGCCGAAAGGAAGTGCAAGCAAAGGGTTTGCCCAACCCTGACCAAGAGTTCATCATCCTCATTTTGAGTGACATGCGCTCCTGCCAGAAGTGGCTTGGTGCCCGATGCACAGCCCATGTTCAAGTTCCCAAAATGACAACGAAAAGAAAAACGACGCATCTAATTACATGGTTGTGCCGAGACCCATGTAGCATCCGGGTGGGTGAGGGGTGGGTTCTCCAGACTCTCCAGACGGCTTTCGGTTCCGCGGGCGCGCGAGTTATCTCGCCAGGCCTATGGCAAGGCCGAGCTGCTGGAAGCCATCGGGGCCGCGAAGCGGGCGCGGAAGACGGTGCTGGTCATTGCTGCGCCTCGCTGCAAGCAGCGCATGGAGAAAACCCGGGGGATTGCCGGCCGGATGGATGGCATCCATCATTTTGAAGATCTGAGATATTGTTGAATCCATGGAAAGGGGGTGATGTTTTCAATTTGTTCACAGATCCATAATGTGCACTATGTGGATATTTTTGCAGGGCTCCTTAAAAGATACATTTTGCCAATTTGAAACATGGCTTCTTCCACCAAAATAAAGGGAAACCACCATTTACAAGGCAATGTTCAGGTGTAGAATGTAAGGATCCCTGTTTTGTTTAAGGTTTGGTTCAAACATAGGATGTTTGGCTAGGGGTGCAAAAGCCAAGGTAGGTGTGCTGGTCCTCATATATGTCAAGCTTTCGGTCAATCTGTTTATGAGGGTCCCATCCACAGATGAGCAACTGACAACATATTCCCAGGCTATCGAATGTGCGGGGAGGGGGGCCATGAGGTTTGCAGGTTGGTTTGAGTAGGGCCCTATTGGTTTCTGGTGGTGATATTGTATTGTCGGGTATCCATGTATCCCACAGGTGTTGACGACCCCCCAAGGGGACACAAGGTGTCCCAAGAACAAGCCAACATATCTCCAAATCTATGCAAAGCTTCAAAAGCTTTCAATGATGAGCCAAAGCCCATGCTGGTGTCCTGTTCTGGTGATGCTTATGGATGCGACTGCCAAGATTGGCACATGTTCAAGGGGGTCGTGCACGTATATCCACAAGCATGGCCTGCTTGTTCCCAATCCTGCTTACGCAGCATGTCCGGTATGAGGCCCATGTCGAGCTGCGTCCGAGTCACCACCGAACTGCTCGTGGGTCCGAAAATCAGGGCACCCCGTTTCGGTCGGGAGAACCCCGAGGCAGAAGGCCGTTTGAAGGAGGTCCCCTAGTTTAAGAAGCACCCATTTGTCAGCGACAACGGAAAAGGCAGCGACCCGAAGCTTGTTCAAGCAGGAAATGGCAGCTCGCTGCATTTTAATTCCGGGGGGGGAATCAAACCGGCAACATCATCCAGACTGTTATGCGTGTTATGGAGCCCAAAAGCAAGGCTGACTCTCCTTCCGTCTTTGGCAGTGGCTCCCCCGGGCTCAAAGGAAGCCGCTCAGGTGGGAGGCGGTGTGAACGGCAACGCCACCGGTATGATCGCCGCGCCTCGGAGCCAACTTTCGCAATGCCCGGACCCAAGCCCAGCACTCGGAAGCTCCGATTGCCAGCAGCGAGGCAGAGATAAATAACATTATATATAATGTATTAGCAAAGGTTAGCGAAGCAGAGTCACACACACAGGGTTCATTTGTTTGCCTGCTTTTTATTAACTTGTTCAAATAATTCCAGTTCCACTTGGACCCTTCTCTCCTTGAAAATGGCAACCAGCGCGCTTCTTGGTCTAGCAGCTAGCATCTTGGGAAAGACTTGTTTTTGCGGGAAGCTTTTTGGGATGGTGTCAAGCGAAGCCAAAGGAACAACACCCCGCAGTTTGCCGTGTCCAACCTGTCTCGTGTCAAACCCCAACTAGTAGCAACATGTGAGTATGTTTCAAGCTAGGAAGACCCCCCAACATCACTAGTTTCCTCTTGGTTTTCCTTCAAATCAGTCTTAAAAGAGTACCCTCAAACAGGGTCCGCTCAGTTTCCCTTGAAGCCCCAAGTGGCGCTTTTCTCTCCGGAGCCGTGTGGGCAGACCAAACGACCCGCGACCCGCGCGTACGCGCCGATGGATCCGAGGCCATGGCGGGCGCCGCCTTCATCGAGGTGCCCACCACGCTGATGCACTACAACGACGCCACCACCTCCGCCAAGAAGGCCTTCAGCACCCCGAAATGCATGGGGCGCCGGCTTTTTTGCGCCGAACCATTTAAGTTTTTTTGCGGTTGTTTTTGGGGAATGGGGGGGTGGTCGCGTCTCTCTCTGTGTGTGTGTGTGTCGTGTTTTTTTTGGAGGCTACGACTTTTTTTTTGTAAGGTCGGTTTAAAGGGAGATCAAGGTTTGCCCCGCCTTTTTTGGGGATTGGAGTGGTTGGGGTCCTGTTTTGACATGACGTGGAAAGGCACATCTACCAGCTGTGTAAAATCCACTTGTAAATCCACTTGTGAATCAGGTGACTGAGAGGTGTATGTTCTAGGGACCCCTGATCGTAAGGGAGGTGATGGGGGGTGCGGTGAGGTGCCAACAGTTTGGGGCCTGGTGTTGGAGGTGGTGAGGTGATGGGCAGTTGGGCAAACAGAACGGCGATTTGCATTTTATACTTCAGGGGGTTCGACATTACAAGATCATATGCTTGGTGCTGTGTTCCGTTTGCAGAACAGTACAGCTTGCTTCGGTACAATTTGGTACAGTGAGATCCAGCCGCTCTGCCCATGCTGTACGAGGAGGCTCATGGGGCAATGATCCAGCCCTTTTTGTTCAAATGAGAAGGGTCAAGCCAGGCCTTGCCTCACAAAGGGAAGGTTGGAGGCTACGTAGCAGGACAGCGTGCCGCAGAGCCATTGAGAGCACCCGCATTGAGGTGTCTCCCTTTGGGCCTGTCAGTTTGGACGATTCCCGACGCGTTTGTTTGCTGAGAGCTCAGGCCTGGTGGTGAACGGGCAGCGTCTTGGCTGCCAAGGGGCGACTGGAATCACTCAGCATAAGACGCAACTCATGACTTGGTTGCTTCCCATCGGAAAAACATAGTTTCAGTTTGTTTCAGAAGATGAAGCTATGATGGGATAGCAGGGCTGTGACAATGTGCAGACACGTGCATCCATTGTTGCGCAGGCCTTGGCAGGCCTCCTTGTTTGTAGTGGCTCTTTCAATTTGAGTTTGCTCAACCTATTATGCTTTCATTCGCCAAGCCCTTCTTAATCCAAGAAGCATGAGATGTGTGTTGCCATGTTCGCCAGCCAGCCAGGTTTGCTTGCGGTTGCCACTTGTTTGCACGCTGTGAACAGGCAAAAAAGCGCCCACCAACGAATGCCACTTGTGAATATGCTGCAAGACGAGGAAGCCTCCTTCCTGTTGTTAGCGGCGTAAGCCACCAGAAAGCCAGTTGTTTGGGAGCTGGCAGCCGAGAGTGTTTCGGAAAGCTCGAGAACAGGCCACAGCTTAAGTGCCCAACATGTCCAGCATGCAGCGTGTTTGCGGGTTCCTTCCTGCGGACCGGGGGTGGTGGCTCTTGCAACCCATGGAAGCAGATTCCTACAAGTAACGTCCTGGACAGAACATGTGTATGTGTGCCCTCCCCCCAACATACAAGACTGTTGTTCAGCGGTTCAAGCATGTTTTATGTCCCTTTCCAGTGCCCCCCTTTGTTTCCTTGGTTTAGTTACCTAGATTTCTAAGCGCAAGCTGAGCATGGAAAATTCCTCTGAGTGCCAAATTTCCCTGTTCAAAAAAAGGCCCAAAGGGGGGTCAAGCCTAAAAGAGAATGGGCATCTAATTTGGCACCCATTTTTCAGCGCGCGTTTCTGCGCTCTCGAGGATTCTCTCCAAGAACATTCTGGGCACCTTCTACCTGCCGCAGCTGGTCTTTTGCATCAGCGAGACCTTGCTGACCCTGCGGCTCGCACGGCCGGTTTCCGGAGCCTCCATGGTGGGGTTGAGAGACCTCAAGGGCCAAGAGGTCGACTTCTTCGTGCGAATCGGGTCAAGTAGAAGGCTGCTTCTCCAAGTGGCTGTCGTGCTGTGTGTTGGATTTGTTGTCCTGAGAAGGCAAGCAACCCCCACAGGCTACGGCAAGAAGCTCAGGTGACCGAAGTGATGATGGCCTCTATAGATGTTGTGTGAGGGGTGTGCTGTTTGGTTGTAATCCGAGGGCAGATGTGTTTGTCTCCAAATGGGCTGGAACGTCCGACATGGGGTCAAGTTTCGCGTTGGGTTCCTTCAAAGCTCCCAACAATGGGGTTTTGGAACTCCGCAACACGCACGCACACACATCCATGTTGGCCCATCTCACCGAGTAGATGTTGGAAGCCCGGCCGACATGAAACATCTGATGTTTGTTTTTTTGATGATCTCAAATCAAAGGTTCCTGAAGTCCTGGATATTCTAGGCCGAGGTTAGCTATACTGGATAGCTCGGCCGATTCTTGCACGGACTCTAAACATGTCACCGGAAGACGATGGGAGGACTCATTCTAGAGTGACGGGCACGGTCGATGTGTAGCTACCGGATGTTCCTGCTCAGATGTCTGTTTATGTTGGGCTGTGGCAAATCCACGAAGGTCGTCGTGGGATCTTTTCGCCAGGGACGCAGTTGGTTTGCAAAAATCGTGAGCTTGCAGGCGCTTAGAAGTGCCAAGATCTGGTTGTTTGTTGATGCCAAATACGGTATCCAGCTGTATTTTCCATCGTCAACTGTTGTTTGTCAAGGCAAAGACATTGGCTCTCACTCACCAAACTGCAGTGCAAAAGACATGTCGAGAAGAGACGAAACCTAAATATGTTTGGCATGTCAGTTTGGGCGCAACGAGCACTGACCGTGGCTCGTATAAGACAATCGCTGATACTGCCAGTCTACGAGAGATGGGAGGGCTACCCATGTTTCCACGCAGCAGGACTGCCCAGTCGCTGGTTGCTCACACGATATGGGTATATATTTTGTTCGAGGAACCTCTCCCAACAAAAATAGCAGAACAAATGATGGTAAAAGCAGAACAAATGATGGTTTAGATTTTTGGTTCCCCTTTAAAACCACCAATCAGTGGTACCCACAGAAGACAGGCCCATATGATTTGCGCTGTTCGCCGAAATTCATTCGCAAGGTCCAAGTGCAGTGTGCACGCGGCGGTGGGCGAGGCCTGCAAGACGAAGCTCGGTCTCGAGAGCGCTGCCATTGACTCCGGATTTAAACGGACAGGACTTACCCTTCCAACAGAAGGCACTTGGAGGGCACCTGGATCAGTTTCCTAAAGGAACCCCCCGGTGAGGTGCCATGTTAGTGGGAGGGAGGGCAAAAACTCAAGCAGGACGTAAAAAAGTCAAGTGGCTGTGGGTCAAAAATCGGGTAACTCCAAAATAGCTTGCCCTGGTAAATGGAAACAATGCCTAAACACTGTGGTCCCCTTGTGGTTTAATTTTGACCCATATCCAAGTCGGAAATTTGTGAGTTTGAAGAGACTCTTCAAATCAATCCTGAGTCCTTGTGTCCCACTACAGACGCTACAGATTGCGGATTCGGATTAGGGGTCCCTGCATTGCACAATGATGTTTGCCAGAATCCCATGATTTCACTGTGTTTTTTTTCATTTTTTCCCCACTGTGATTTCAATCGTCCAAACTTTCTCTTGTGGTCGCACGGGGTGTCAAGAGACACTCCGCAACAAGTCTCTGGGCGTGAGTCTTCCATGTGGAGTTGACTCAGCATGACCCATGGTTCTGTGTGGCAAGCTGCAACACAGACAGTCCAAGGATGTTGCTTGAACAAATTCGGACGAATCATGATTTTACTAGGAATTCGGCATTGGGTCTCGGCTGAACAGCACGCACTGTACAGTTTGTTTGTTTGCCTTTTGCTCCCAAATTCCTGATGCTCCCAACAGGATGGCCTGTTGATCCATGGCTTGACTGCAAGAGCAGCCTAGCAGTGGCCTAGCTATGTGTTCTCTTTGCACGACCTTGTCTCGGAGGGCTTTTGCCATTTTTGGATTTGTACTGTATGCACGCACGTGTGTTGCATTGTTTGTCGGGTGTGATTGTGTTTGTGTGTTTGTGTTTACGTATGTTTGTGTGTGTGTGTGTTGTCTTGTGTCTTTGGCTTGTGTGGTCCTTTGTTTGTTGGATTTCTTTGCTTGCTTGCCTGCCTGGTCGCTTGCTTGCTGTGCTGCTTGATTATGTGTGTCGTTCTTTCATTATTAATTTCTTGTTTTTTGTATAGTTGTGCCTTGATTGTGCCTTTTCTTCATTTAGTGATTGCTTTATGCTTTCCTTTGTTGTTTCGTTGTGTCTTTCCTTCCTTCTTTGTTGATGTATTTATGCATTTATTTGTTCTGTTTGTGTCTTTCCTTATGTTGTTATTATATTTATCGATTTATTGATGTATGTCTTTGTTTCTGCAAGTATGTCTTCATGTATGTTTGTATTCATGATGTTATGTTTGTTGGTTTGACTTTTAGTTATTGTTTTCTGGTCTTCCCGCTATTTAGTTTATACATACATGAATACACTTCTGGTTTTCTTTATTCATGTGTTTTTTGTGTCTCTATGTTTACATATGTTTGTCTCTCTGTGGCGTGTTGTGTTGTTGGTTGCTCTTTATTCATGTTACTTGTGTGTTTGTGCGTTTGTGCGTTTGTTCGTGTGTGTGTGTGTGTCTTGTTCTGTTCTGTTCTGTTCTGTTCTGTGTTTGTTTGTTTGCTTGTTTGTTTGTTTGTTTGATTCATTGTTTGTTTGTTTGTTTTGTTTGTGTTTGTTTGTTTGTTTGTTTGTTTGTTTGTTTGTTTGTTTGTTTGTTTGTTTGTTTGTTTGTTTGGTTTTTGGTTGGTTGATTTGGTTTGGTTTGGTTTGTTTTGTTTGTTTGCTTGTTTGTTGATTTGTTGATGTGTGTACTTGCTTGTTTGCCTGTTTGTTTGTTGGCGTGGTTGTTTGCTTGTTTGCTTGCCCGTTTTTTGTTTGTTTGTTTGTTTTTTGTTTGCTTGGCCGATTTTTTGTGTCCTTGTGTGCGTGGGAGTGTTTGGTTGTGTGTTTGTGTGTGTATGTTTGTATTTATGCGTGCTTGCTTCCGTTTGTGTGTGTGTGTGTTTGTATATCTCTATTCTTTGTGTTTGTCCGTGTTTGTGTGTGTCTGTGTGCGGGTGTTCGTGTTGTTTGTGTTTGTTTGTGGTCTGTTTGGTGTCTGTTTGTACTGTGTTTGTAGTGTGTTTGTCGTGTGTTTGTAGTGTGTATGTTTGTTTTGCCAGGTATGTTCGAAGTCATTTCTCTCATATTTCACCTCTCAGAGCCCCACTTGCCGATCTCAGGATGGGGATGTTGGGCATCGCCAATTCCAAAGCTGGACAGCGGGACTGGCACAACATCCTGGGCGCCGTAGAGCCCTTTGCCTGTGGAAGCAAAGACCTGGCTGATGTATACTTTTTTGGTCACATGTCATTTTTTCAGCATGTGCATGTGGCCATGGGTCAAACTCCCGATACCCCCAGCGAACATCCTAGTCCCCCCCTAAATAGACTAAAATGGGTGGTGCACCTACCCCCAAAATGGTACCATTGGTTTTGACCCACAGCCATGTGTGTTGAAGTGTGTGCTGCTTGTGTGCTTGTCAGTGCGTGTGTGTGTGTGTGTGTGTGTGTGTGTGTGTGTGTGTGTGTGTGTGTGTGTTCGTTCCAGCACAGGGCGCCGCCTGAAAGGTAGGCTTCCGTTCAAATTGCGGGCCCATGTTCACCTCAATGTGCTAAGAACAAACTGCCAGTATACGGGGGTTGCTCAAACAGTGGTCCCCGAAAATAGCCAACCAAGAGGGGGTCCACCAGTTCTGCTCATTTCTACTCCTTTCCTTCGTACTGACGCGGCCTGGCTTCTTAATGGTATTAGTATTGTCCGGGGAATATCTGGGCGTTGCAGGCATATTGAGCTGGTTATCGTAACCCTCGGATTGTCGAAAGAGAAAGAGAGCGAGAGAGAGGGAGACAGAATGTGAGATCGAATGATAGAGTGTGAAATAAAGAGATGGTAGGGTTTGCAACAGATGTGTAGCGCAGCAAGTGGTGCAGGACATGCCAGCAGAAATGGGCTTCGCTATTGGATTGTCATGTGTTGCAACAGTTTGAGCCCGGCCGTTCCTTTTGAACCTGCCTCCACTCCAGATTTGCTGCGGGGCGATGATGAAAGAGACAAAGACAACATCAATGTCGGAGCCAAAATGATATTAGGTGAACTGGACAGATTTCCCAGTTGGCTTCTGTTTTCTTGAGAGCCGACCGGGCGCGACAGCATTGAGCAGCTTTGAGCAGGCCTTTTTTTTGTGTCCCTTGGAGGGCTCAAAGGCGTGTGTGAACCCCTGATATGATCTCAGGTCTTTGTCCATGGTGTATACTTCATGAGAAGCCAACCACCCCAAACGGCTGCAGATGGGCAAGCCCAAAAATGGGACTGGTCAGACGGGCTGGCCAGAAGGGGCCGGCCAGCGCGCGAGGTTCGCCAGCGACTTCACCAAGGTCATCGAGACGGTGGGAGGCCATCTCGCATGTGTTTTCCCGCTTTTCAGGGATTTCACAAGGGTTTTGGGACCGAACCTAAAGATCCCCAAAGAAACCACAAGGTTTCATTCGGGAATGAGATGAACCTATCAAAGCTACAGTTTTCCCAGATTGTCAGTTGGGGGTCATTCGCAAGTTCGCAATCCCCAAAGAGAACTAGCAGTATTTGCGAAAAAAGAGAGAGAGAGAGAGCGAGGGAGAAAAAGCGCTCGAAAGGCTCGCTCCCAATGAGGGTTGGCTAAGCGAGTCGTGTGTTAGTAACTGAGTTCTGAAATACTGCTGGTGACCTCTTGAGATCTGATTGGCTCGTGGTACTGAACAAAAGCAACAATCGTCGCGTTCTGATGACCAGCAAAGTGTGATACGGTTGGGGGCAGTTTGCACCTGTTGAAATCCTACCACTGTTTGAGGTGTCCAATCAAGGGATCCATCACCGTTTCCCATACTGTATAGGGATGGAGACCACCATGCCGGAGAGCAGTGTTTACGTTTGTATTGGTAGGTTCTGCTTTGGTAACTCAAGTGCGTGTGACTTTCGCTACCAATATTGCGACTTGGAATAAGAAGTCGTTAGGCCCAGAGGGACAAGCAACCAGGATAACCCCGATGTTTGATCAATAGCGGGTGTTTCATTGAGGTGCTTCCAGATAGATGAAATCGTGGTCAAACGTGTCCCCAACCGGAGACCCGCGACGAGCTTGCGGGAAAGCAAAGCCGCACCCTGTTCACTAGCTGATTCATGTCAATCTTGTTCCAAATAAGAACACACAGATATGCGATTGCATATGTAATACATATATATATATATATACACACATGCATGCATATGTATGTATAGATGTTTGTATGCACATCACATGTGTGCATTGTGATTACATCTGGGATATTTTTGTGGCGTATTTCTGCTGAAAAACCGCGAGGCTTCGAAGAGCTGATCCGGTTCCTCCACAGCACCCGGGAGCTGAAGGCGGAAGCCTTGGCGTTCGGAGAGGACGGAAACACGGCCGGCGGGGTCGTTGGGCGTGTCTTAGGGATCGGGGACGCCAAGCAAGGCGCGTGGTGCTTCTCCTTGGTGTCCCTTAAAACCAACCTGAAGAAGCCTCAAGAATGACACACCTAGTTTCCTTCTGTGGGTGAAACTTTCAGCATGAGCCTTTGGAACTATTTCAGTTTCCTTTCGACTTGAGTTCCCAGTTCCTGTGATCTCATTTTGGTTTTGACGTTCATTGAATATGCACCAGAGTCAACAAACATATGTTTGGTTCGGGCAAAAGCTGGCGTAGTTTTCCGTGCTTGAAACATCACCTGGAGCTTATGGAACTTTGGTGGGGACAGGTTTGAAGCCGACAGGGAAGGAACCCTGCCCATGTTGGGCTTCGGCTGGGAAGGAAACAGAGGCTGGGATTGGAGGGAGGGGGTGTAGGCAGAGCCCGTGTTTGGCATTGGCTGAGCATATTCGTCACTAGGACTCTCGGTTGCAATGTGCTCAAACCGCAGAGACCGCTTCCACGGTCCCCCTCGATTTCTCTAAGTGAAGAGGCGACTAAGAAGAAGTGAATGATTCCCAGCACCTGTTGGTAGTGACGAGCGGCGCGCTTCCCTCACAATTGGGTCACATTGAACTGTTCACTCTACTGCAAATCAAACAAAGGAGCCTTCAAAAAGGTGTCCTTCCAAACGGAGATGCCTAGAACTTGTTTGCGTTGTGTTTTCGGTTCATGTCAATCTGGAGAGCAGCCACTTCTAGAAAGAGTCTTCACTCTGCAAGTGCCCCCCCCAAATTGTCCCAAGTGTTTTGCGTAAGTCCGAGCCCATGGCTCCTCCCAGCCAGCCGCTTCAGGAGCTCAGCGGCATGCGCATGGAGCGCGCTTCCTACGGGCAGATGGCCAACGTCGCCAAGCTCCGCGAGGCTCGCCTGAGGAAGCTCAGGCAAGTTTTCCGCAGCGCCCCGGCGAGGTGAAGAAGTGCAAAGTTCTGGGGGTACCTTCCCCATTCTTTCCAAAGATCCTTCTTTCCAGAAAACCTCCAGAAACTCAGGGAAAACTGCAAGTTGTTGAAAAGAACGATGGTTGAAAGGAATGGAATCATCCCCTAGAAAAGTGGTCTAAGGGTCGAAGGGTCTAAGGGTCCAAGGGTCGATTGGTTCTCCAAAGCACTAGTCATCCCTGAGTGGCTTCTACCAGTGCAATAAGCAGAGTACTCAACCCACAGTCTGAACTGAGATATGCCCCTAGTAACCTGGTTTGGTTTTAATTCGCCACAGCAACTGGGCCAAAGCCTCATACCGCGTGTCAAAACTGGGCACCCTTTAGGAATTCTTCGGAGGGGCAAACAGACACAATCACAGGCGAACAAACAATAAAGCAAACAAGCAAGCAAGCCAGCAATCAAGCAAGCAAACAAACGCATGAAGAAATCTGACAATCGAGCAATCGAACAATTCAACAGGCAAGCAAGCAAGCAAACATTCAATCAAGCAAACACAAGCAACCAAACTGGAGAAGGCCACAATAGGAAACAGCATTCACCAAGGCAAGCATCCATCCAGACAATGTTTGGCCAGGCATTTGGTTTCACTCATGTGCAATCCTTAAGATCCTTAAGAATGTGTCATGATGCAACAGCCACAAAAACATTCCTGTAGCCAGTCTAAACTCCCATGGGCCATCTCTCCGAAGGAGTCATTTCGACCGGTTTGCATGTTCTGCAGTGATGCACACGGTATGTGTCTCGTAGTCGTCTTCATTTGATTCCAGTTGCAATGGGTAGTCGTCTTCATTTGATTCCAGTTGCAATGGATTCAAAACTATGCTGCTCTCGCCGCTTTTTGTGACCCAGAAGGACAAGCCTCGGTGCGTGTGCGTGTGTGTGTGTGTCTCATACGTCGTGTTTGCAGAATGTAATTGCTGTACTGTTGTGTACATGGCTCTTGACCGAGGCCAAGGCTTGTAACTCCCAACATGCAGAAGTGCCTGCTGAATTGGTATGGTACACTGCAAAAAAATGTGTATGGGGAGGTTAGAGCCAGCAATTGAATGGTTGCTATGTCTAAGCCACAGACACCAAGTGAATCATGAGTTGCTTTTCCAGACCTCTGTTTATCAACTGCCATTTGCTTAACAATATGTTTGTTTTTTCTCTCTTTGCTGGTTAAAAAGGGAGTCTATCACTGGAAATACTGTGGATGGACGAAATCCTGCACCACCTAAGAAACCATGAGACACCTTTGTTTGTTGGTATGTACAGGGGAATCAACATTTCAGGGTTTCTGAAAATATGATTATTATTTTCCCAGGGCCCAGCACGTGGAGGCCAAGCAGTTCCGCCGCTGGGCAGTCGCCCGTTGAGGTCAGCTCTCCTCGGAGGCTCGGGAGGCCGTCATCCAGTTTCTCACCGCCGCTCAGCTGCGTACCGAGCCCTCCACCCACACAAAAATGCGTAAGCATGTGTCAAAATAAGGGGGACACCCCCCCCCTTTTGGTGGGTGTTCTTTTGGTCTCCCTACTGTTTGTCCGGCAGCAGCCAGGTTTCTCTGGTATCCCAACGATGGCTTGAGCACTCCGGGATGGGTTAGGGCAAGCTGAAGGTGCTATGCCTGACATGCCTTTTGCAGGAGTCATCATGTTTCCAGTGCGACACGTGCCGTGAAGCTCTTGGTGCGTGTGAGAGCGTGAGAGAGAGAGAGAGAGAGAGAGACAGAGTGCGAGAGAGAGAATGGGAATAAATGGGATGGGTACCACTTGAGCAATTGCCTTTTCAAGCAAGACCGATACCAATTCTTTGTCCCATGGATTCAAGACACCAGTTTGGCAATTCTTGTTTCTGCCGAGCAGAGGGCTGGTACTATATCCAGTCTTCGGATTCCCGACAACCAGCCAGTGGGTCTGTCGTGAGAATGGATGGCCAAATCCTTGTGTCCCGGGCCCTTGACAAGAAACGAGGGCGGGCGACGGCCAAGATGCCACACAGGGGCCTGATAGTGAACATGTTTTGAGCGGTTCTCATCGAACAGATATCTCTTGTTGGCTCCATTTCGAGTGATTTCCCTTCCAACTGTGGTCGCCGTGAGGGTCAAAATGTGATTCTGAATATGGACCAAATCGAACATCGAAAGTCGCAGTGGCAAATCGAGGTCATCAACACGGAGATCATCGCTGCGAAGGCCATGTTCCTGGCCTACTCCGACCCCTTCGAGAAGTACCGCGCCCTGCTCTTTGAGCCGCGACCTCAAGCGTCGCAGGAGGGAGGAGCGCATGCGCTACGTCCATCGATTTGGGTGGAGTATAGGGAGCTCACAATGGCGCAAAGGATCTCTTACCCATGAAGTTGTTTTTTTGTAGCCATTTTTGGACACTGCCCCATTCGGACGTCTCTTCAAACGCCTTCAGCCCGGCAAACCTGGCATTTGATATTGAGTCAAGAAATCCAGAAGGCATTTGGGAGGGACATAGGGGGGACTCACAAATTTCTCCCTGAAACCAATCCCAGAAAAGGGTTGCTTTGAAAGTCATTACTATTTTCGCGTGGATGAGGGGAAACAGCGATTCCGGGGACCCATGGTGTTAAGCCTTAAATGGAGTGGTTGCTGAAAAGAGCAACATATCATGCTTTGTTTGGCTCTCTCAATGAAGCAATAGCGCACATAAACAATAGTCGCTTTCAAGGGCCGCTGTGTGTGTTTGTTGTGCGTATGGGATGTTGCTGTTGCTGCTGTTGCTGTTGCTGCTGCTGTTATTTCCACCAAATTTGGGCACCGGGGGAGGTTCCTCGTGTGTGTTTCCACATGTGGTTTGTGCGTGTGTTTCTGTGTGTTTTGCTTGGCCATTCATTCACACGGTCCACGTGGAAATCTCCCAGCAGTGCCACACCGCACGGACGGATGCGAGGTATGCGCACACCTTGGGCCACGGCGTCGAGGCTTTCATGAACGGCCTGTACCGAAGAGCCACCGCCTGCGGTTTGGAGTCTTAGCTGCAGGGGATCTCCGCATATTCAATCAAACATTCCATATGTCAAGGTGGACGATCTAGAATATGAAACCAAATCTTGAAATGTTATCTTAGCTGTGCTGCCGGGTTGGCCAAGGCAAGTACTTTGGCTGTCCCTGTGGCCCATTTGCCCTGCCTGAGTGGAATTCAGAGTTTGTTGGCAAGAACAACGGGACTTTCAGTCCCATTGTAAATCCGTACTGCATTTTGACAGTGGTTGGCAGTATGAACTTCGATAACGGGGCCCATTTGTGCCATCAGATCCCTGATTTTGGATAATTCTTCCAGTTGACACCTTTTATCGCATTGCAGCCGCTGGGGCGGTACCACTTTTTCACCCGCAGACGAAGACGAATTGCGAAGACAAATTCCCGAAAACGAACTCCAACCCGAAGACGAATTGCGAAGACGAATTCCCGAAGCCGACTTCCGTCCCGAAGTCGAATTTCCCCCCGAAGACGAATTGCGAAGACGAATTCCAACCCGAAGACGAATTGCGAAGACGAATTCGCCGGAGCCAAGCTCCCTCCCGAAGCCGAATTCCTCCCGAAGACGAATTGCGAAGCAATTTCCCGAAGACGAATGCCCCCCCGAAGACGAATTGCAAAGACGAATTCTCCGAAGCCGAATTCTCCCCCGAAGCCGAATTCACCCCCGAAGACGAATTGCGAAGACGAATTCGCCGAAGCCGGATTCTCCCTCGAAGCCGAATTCCCTCCCGAAGACGAATTGCGAAGACGAATTTCCGAAGACGAATTCCAACCCGAAGACGAATTGCGAAGACGATTCGCTGGAGCCAAGTTCCCTCAAGAACACGGGTCCCCTAATGAATGCCGTTGAGCAAGCATGCTGACAGCGAGCGTTTGTGGTCATTTCGTCCCCTTACCATAGACGGCGCCCTACATAGTAGATGCTTTTGTCAAAGCCCAATCCTTCACTAGAATAGTTCATGCAATTTGAAACCAGTATTGATCTATCGACTGTCCTCTTCTAGGAGGCTCAGCGTTTGTAGAAAAGAAGACCCTTCCTTGAAAACAGTTTTTGTTAGACCTCTCGGCTTTGACCCTGTCCCCGTCAGAAGTGCAAAAAAACACACTGAACACCCAGCGCCTGGAACCGGGGACCCCGAATAATATAAGACGCTATAATTGCGCAGTTGGCATGTTTGGGTTGTTTGCTGATGAGGGGAAGGGATTAGTTTAGCAGGGGGTTGCGCAGATGAGGGTTTCCTGCTCGTCCCCCTAATAATGGAGGGCCCCCTAGATAGTAGATGTCTGCTAAGAATCTCCGAGCCGCAGGCTAAAACATCCTAAGGGCAGGTTCTGAGGGTCACCCTGTTACTTCCCCTTGTTTAAGGTTCCTAAACCTTTGAGGGAATTGTGTTTTGTGCGCAGCCGACATGTACATGCGAATGCATTTGGCTCAAGACCTTGATAATAGAATCGAGGCAAACATCCAAACACAGCTGTGAAACAAAGCAAAAGGGTTCGTATTCCGCGGTCGCATCGAGTCGTGAGACGACGCAGATCATTTACCTTACAACCCCCTTTTACCACGACCATGCACTACTATACGACTTACTGTCGAGCGTATTGGTCACCCCACGGGAGTCGAGCCCCAACTGCCTTGTCATTTGATTACGTGGTTGATCCGCCTCCTGGCAGGCTATCAGCCGTAAGTTCAAAATTGGTCCCTGCGGTGGATTGCAACTGCGGTACAATACAACCTTTTGAAATATATTTACAGCCGTACAATGGATTCTTCCGGAAGCCCGGGAACTGCATAGTTCCAGCGGTTCCACAGGTATGCTTGCAGTGCCGGCGATTGCAGACTCTCCGGACACCCAACAAAGTGCAAGTTCTGATTTTCGCCATGACCTATCACATTCATCCTGGAAGGAAGTTGGTCATGCCGTGTGGTCCAAAGACGGAGAAAAGAAGAGATCGTCATCAGCTTCATTACCGACACCGAGAAGGAGCGTTAAGGGCGTCATGAGTCCTGTGACAAAGGAAGATCCAAACCGCCTACAGGCTCTAGTCCGTCTAAGATCACTCAGCAGAACAAGACCCTCAAACAGGAAGTGGAGGAGGCTAAGCGCAATTTGGCTATGCTACAGGAGTCATATGAACGTGACGACCAGGGCAATGTCACGCGCATCCAGGAACTGGAACGGAGAGCAGGTATGTTGGAACAACAAGTAGCCCATATCCTCAAAAGATCCGACGAACAACTTCGAGAAGCTGCTCAATACATTGACATTCACGGAGAATATCAAGACGAAGCCCGACTTAAAGTCCTCGAGTACGAGAAGCGACATCAGGAGATGGCCGCGACCGTGAATCTGCTTGAACATCGAATCAGGTGCGAGGAAGAAAGCTCATTGGTCAGCAAGAATAAGGCTGAACAAGAAAGAAGGAGCACTTCTTCCGAGATCGCTCAGTATCAATCGGTGATCAACTCCTACCAGGTGAAGATCGCTACGGACTCGCAGAACGAGGAGAACACCATTCGTGGTTTGCGTGAGAGATTGGAGACAGCGTTGTTGCCGCAACCGAAAATGGCGATCGATGACGAGCCACAAAACGTATTGGTGAGCAAAGCAAATGATGCTATCAGGTACGCTGAACAAGAAGCCCATTGCGCACGGGTTGCCGTGAGCGAACGGGATGTGATGCATTTGATTGGACAACGTGCAGTACAGGAACGCGACGCGAAGATGAATGAGGAGATCAAGATCGCTAGAGATCGAGCTCATCAAGGAAACGCATTACATGATCGCGCCACGCTGAGGGATCAGGAGTCTGTCGACGTGACTCGCGAACTCGCAGCATCCAGACAAAAGGCTATTGCCATAGATTACAAAACCCCTCCCCCCTTATACCCCCTCCCCATTTCATCTAAGAGGTCTTTGCAGGGCTGTGCGCTAATGGCTTACTAATAGCTTCCTAATAGCTTACTAATAGCTGCTAATAGCTTCCCGGCTTTAGCGTACAAATAGCTGCTATTAGGTAGCTATTAGCAGCCATATTTTCCTGCAGGATTGTGCCGAGTTGTCACGCTGCTTCAAACGCTTGAAGTCTTTGCAGGCGGCAGGTTGTTGCAATGCCGCGATGGCTGGTACTGAAATCGTCGGATAGCCTCCAAGTTTTTGGTCATATCACAATATTGATCCCCGAAGATTTCAGCAATGTACAAGTCCACTGGGCACAGTCTGAGTGGTTTGGGCGGCAAAAATGCCGAGTGGGAGAAAAGGTATCAAAGCGCCCGAGTCTGGCGGAGTCTGGCTGAATTGCATTGCTCGCGGGGTCTAGGTAGCTAGTCACTGCTATTAGCAACCTATTAGCAGCTATTTGAAACCGGGGGGGGGGTCTGTAAGTCTATTCAGGCCCTAATAGCTGACTAATAGGCTGCTATTAGTACGCTATTAGTACCCTATTTGAAAGGGGGGGGGGTCCGTAAAACTCGAGTTTTTTCAGTGTTTTGGCTTCCTGAGGCTGTTTTCTGCGGATTTTCGGACAAACCCGAGGCTTGAGTCGTAGGGGAGCATTTGGCAAAGAGAATAGCAAAGAGACGAGCTTTAGGAGAGCAATTTTCCCGAGTCATTTAGCAAAGGAACGAGTTTCATGCTAGCCTGTCTCGTATGTTGTCCTTCGCTTGCAAATGCAATGCGCGTGATTCAGGCCTCTCCCAACGAGTGTTGCTAGCGTGCGGGGCTGGAAGTGCATTCCCCCAAGGACCTCTCCCAGGCACCCTAGGCAGATAAGCATTTTACACTTAAATGAAAAGGGGGGGCGGTACAAGGGGGGGGGGGCTTAGTAATCTATGGTATTGATGCGAAACCCGATTTCCTCAGCCAGATCGCTGCAATGTCCGAAGAAATCGAAGAGACACGACAAGAACTCAAGATCCAAGAGAGCTTTGTGTACCAGTTGGCAGAGACGAACAAGGAACTCGAGAGCGAGAATGCTACCCAAATCGCCATCGCGGCGGATGCAAAAGATCGTGGACGAGCTCTACTGAGGGATGACTCCGTTAGGACCGGAAAACGCCACAATTCGAAGATGCGTAAGAGTGATGCCACAAATGGGCCTCAACAACAAGGTCAGGTAATGCTCTATCAGACTACAATGGCGGCATCTAGTTCTTGTACAGGCACCCAATGTTCTTAAGCCAATTGATTACAGCCTTGGACCGGGTTCTGTTTTGTTTCCTGCTTACCAAGACCCAATGATACAGGCTCATATCAACCAACTCCATGAGGCGGTAGGATCTATTGCAAATATGAGATTTGGGAGGTGGTGGTCGTGGAGATGGCGGTCCACCTGGTCTTGGGTCTGAGGACATGCTCCTGTCCCAGCTGCAACAGGAGGGCCAAATCCACCTGATCTGCCTGACGACGATGATGATAGAGACGAGGACGACGAAGAGGAACCATCCGATGATGATGATGATGATGATGATGATGATGATGATGATGATGATGATGATCGCCGTCGCAACAGAAGATCACCGCGAGGAAGAAGGTCGAGAGATCGCAGAGATCATGACAATGGTCGACCAAGGATATCGCGGACGGAAGCTGAGAGAGTCAATGTACCTCCATGGCCGAAGATCACGAAGCTGTCACCAGTGCTTCATTCAGCAGACCCTGATACCGAAGAATGGGCAACATTGCGGAATGCAGTTGATGTTGATGATCAACCAAAGAAGAAGGATGGCACCGGTAGCTCGAAGGACGCCGCGCCTGCAGAAAGTACAAAGGTCAACGCTCCGAGCGCTAAGAGAATCAAAGCTATGCTCAAAGAAAGAGGGGGTGGTGATCAGTGGTTGCACAACTGGGGCATACGGAAGAACACAAATAAGGTCAAGGACCTTGTTGAGGTAAAGTTCTTGGCGGACCTGGATTGGACGAGGAGCATTGTCAACCCGGTCGATGGGTCAGTCCTGCGCATGGACTCCAAACGTCTTCAAGAT